TTTCGACCTCTACACTTTTTACAGATGTACTTTATTTAGTAGATTTTATTTTATTTTTTTTTTTTTGTAATAAAACCCTGTACTTATGTAAAAGTTTTTACCTTCAGTCACATCGTTCGGGTCTTGATAATTATATAGTTACTCGTAATGCAACTTGTTTGTATATAGATTACATTTTTATCCTCAACTTATTCCACTGTATTGAAATATGAAACAAAAATCGAAAAAGAAACAAAAAAACGAAACAGAAATCCAAAACTCTCTAAATCTTGCCAACAAGTTGACTATTGAGCTGCAACGTGCTCTTTTGAAGAAATTTAAGCCAAAGAAAAAAAAGCTTCAAAAGATTTAAGCCAAAAAGTCAACAAGATGATGTCAGTAGTGGAAGTCGTCCCAGTAGTCCTGTTCTTCTCTCTAGGAAACAATATGTAGAGAACGCCAACAACTAAACAAAAAGAATACTTTTTTGGTACATGCTACCACTTTGGATGGTGGATAGCATACATGTACATTCACACACACACACTGACACAAACATTAACTTTGAATGGTTGGAGAATACTAAAACAACACGCCATATATATATATATATATACATCAGTTGAACAAAGTCAAAGTATAAAATGAAAGAAAAAATGGCATGAAAAAGAAACTTTTTCTTTTATTTTTTCTGTTTTGAAGTGCGCCATGTTTGGTTTGTCTTTTGAGCTTCCGCTTTAAAAATGTCGCCATGCAGTCTAACGCACGCACACACCTACAGTTATTAACAACGAACTAACTTGATTTTTGAAAATAATAATTTTTGTTCTTATTATTTTCGAAATGACAAAACGTGAGAATATAACAGAATTTAAAAATTAAATTTAATAGTCAAATACTTCATTTGACATATTAAAGAGATTTGTAAAGAGATTTGTAATTATTATTAAGGATTCGTGATCGGTAGTAAACAGATCCATTTAAAAAGTGTGTGAATTGTACATTTAAATTAAATTTTAAGAATTTAATTTGGAATTACCGGTTATGTTTTTTGGTGAATTTTACGCTATTTTTATAGTGGAGGGTTTAAATTGACTCAAGTTGGTATTTTTGGCCTATATAACCCGACTATTAGGTATCTTGGGAATTAGATCCATAATTTTCTCACGTATTTTCTGTTATGTTCAAGGACCTATCATAACAATAGTTTTCTTCTAAGAACCCACCCATTAATTTTACATATTTCGAATATAATCCTCATGGTGGAGGGTATAAATAGTTCAGCCGGGCCGAACTTAACATTATGAATTTAGCATATATTCATTTCATCAATATTTTTTTTTTTAATTTTTTCCAAATATATGCTTATCCCCCCATTATGAGGAGCTGTGTATATTAAATTTATCTCTGCTTGTAACACCTCGAAATATTCGTTGGAGACCACGTATATATATATATATATATATATATATATATATATATATGAGTCTTAATGTTGTATATATACATATATATATATATGAGTCTTAATGTTGTATTGGTTGTCCTTTTCATACCGATTTGCATATTCCATCTTGATCAAATGCCTATGTACCGTTGTCTTTGGAATGTTAGTGTCATCCACTATATACACTATATATATTCAGCGAGCACAGTCTTGAAAAGGTCCGCATCCGTCGTTACTGAGCGGCCGCTTGCCGGCTCTAAATTTCTTAAACCAATTGCGGAGGGTCCTAATGGTCGTATTACCACTCCCGTAAAATGTGCAAGTCTCGTCTACAGTGTCCTTTGCACTATTGCCTTTTAAAAAAATGAAGAATAGCATGCCGCAAATGCTTCTTTTGGTTCTCCATATTGAACGGGGCAGAAAAAAATGTTTAAAACGGCTTTGTCACCAAGGAAACGAAACGGACGACTGAAACCGATACCATAAACGGCTAAAAGATAAATAAGCCTGCATGTTTATATAAGCATAGCCTGTCAGACTCAATCATAGCGTGGCGCGGAAGAAACTTATGGGACAACATAATATATATTCAATATAAAGGCCTCGATCAATGGCAATATAGTAGAATTCCGGTGGGATATTCTCCCCAGAAGCCAACAAAAAACCAAGGGAACTGATGAGGATCTGTGGTGAGTTCCGAAACTATAGTCTTCCCTGCCTTAACCCCCGGCATACAATGCCATACATTCCCACTAAAACAAAATACAAATGGTATCCTAAGTAAACCGCCAACACTGCAGCTGGGTTGTGTTAAAGTCCATTAAATTAAAAAAAGACATAAAATTCAGAAAAAATTAAATCTTTATTTTTGAATATTATTAGAATATGAAGATTATTTCATCCAAATCTTGACCGCAACAGCCATTTTGGCATACTTGTCCCAACATTTCAATATTATCTTCAAATGTGTCAATTAAAGCGGATTTCTCTGTAGAGACATGGACTTTAACATAGCCCAACAAAAAATGGTCTAAAGGCGTTTAATCGTTCGATGAATGCTGCCAATAGGTCAGTCCCGAACGTGAAATAAAATGTTCACCGAATTCTCATTTCAATAAGTCCAGGGTTAATCGTCTTGTTGTTACCACATGTCATGCAAGACATATTTTTGCATTTTGGGCAAAAAGACTTGGATATCATTTCACGGTAGCGCTGAACATTCACAATTGGCAGCATATTTGAGGAAATACGATCTAACGATACCACCAATCCATACACCGTACCAATGCCTCTGGCTGATCTTCGCTCAATAATCTATAATTCTGCTTCTGGTTATTAAGTACTCCGAACAGCCGCTTCCGTGGGTCTTCCATTTAAAAGAGCACGAATTTTAATAATAAAATTCAATGATTTGAAAGCGTTGTTCGTTTGTAACACGATTGTTAAATTGTAGACCAAACTGAAGACGTTTGACCGTGAAAAAATCACGAAACGTGCGAAATAGTATGGAAACCGATCAGTTGTACTGATCACAATGTCTAAATTATATCGGAGACTTATTCCGATATTGTGGTAAAAAATATTATGATATCAACTGGGTTGATCAAATCGGATACGGATTGATCAATCACTTCACATGAAATTTTCCATTCTGTCCATTTGTGGCGGAGTTAACAGAAGGAGTACGCTAATGCGAAAATTCAAAATATTGAAGTGCAAATTAAAAATCATAAGGATTTAATTTCAGTACCTCCATCTATGTAGTAGCAGTGGACCGATATTGTCCATCTCCGCGCTCGTTTTTATTTTAGTAGAAATAATATTATTGCATTTTTACATTTTAAATTTTTCAGATCGATTTTTAATATGTTAGTAAATTATAATATTTGAAACGAAAACTGATATTTAAGCCGATATATGTGTTTCTTATTATTTATTGCTATGCATGTAGGTTATTACGTACTTGGACATTTCCACTTTGACTATTATTTTTACCTTATTTTTTTCAACAATCATCTAACCATGTAGCCACAAAAAATACAAGCCATTACACACAATCGATACAGCAAGAGCAGCGGTCAACAGGAACAACAAATCAAAACATAGAATATGCAACAACAACGAGAATCGACAGCAACCATTTTTTGTTCCATTTTGAACTTTGAAGCTAAGAAAAAAAGTCCTTTGAAAAAATACAACTTTTAAAGCCATTGCGAAGTTTTTTGTTGCTGCTTTTGCAATGTGATGACATACTCAAATGTCGTTTGACAAGTTTTTTACTTAGTTGTTGTTTTCTGTGTACTTTCTTAGCAGTTTGTTGTTGGGCCAGTTTTACTGATGATTGTGGGCATGACAATCAAGCCAACTTTTGCGTAAATCTTCCTCCTGTTTTTTCGGTTTTGTTTTTGTTGCATTCAGCCTCAAAGAAGCGACGACGGCAATGAGAATGCCCGCACAAAAATGTTCGGTGAAGCATAAAGCCAACAAATAAACAAACAATCGACATTTTTCACATTAGACTGGTTTTTAGAATGAATTTCGTCGTGTTCTTTTGGTTATGTGTTCAACACTCTCTCCCTTTTGGGTTTGTGGGACATGCTCAAATGGAAATTAAACATTTTGCATGCCATCCCATAAAAATGGTGAATTAAATCATCCAGAAATAAGGGGAAACTCTGCACCAATCACAGCCACATAGAGGTGGGACTTGAACAATCAAAATTACTCATATTAGCACGCACACTCTCCGCTAGTGGCAGAAAACACTTAAATCCCAAGAGACATTGAGTGAGTGTGGTGTGATACTCTCTCTTTCTCAGTGTTGCAATGAGTTAGTGTTGAATAAATGGGGGAAACACTATTATCTCTTGGCACAAGCGCACCGGAAACTGAGCAGTCATAATGATATCAATAAACAACCCTTGTGTTTAAGGGTTGGTTGCTTTGAGAAAACTCTTTTTCGTTACAATACGAACAAGAGAGAGAATTTGTGAGAGAGAAACTCTTATTGTTTACAATAGCCTGGTGTATTGTTTACAATACCTTCTACTCGGGGTTTGTTTTGTGTGTTTCCCTTCTGCTGCTGGATGGATGGTTGGTTGAGAGGGTTGTCATTGTTGTCGAATTCTAGTGGAGGTTTCAGTTTGCAATTGGAATCCTAAAATGCTTTGATTTTTCTGATTTGCGATCATATGTCCGATGACAGTGCATTGAAACGGTCAGACAACGCGGCGCGCTTACGAAAGCAAATGAAAAAAAAATAGAAACAACAGCAACCAATACAAATCAATATAAACAGTAAAGAATTTTTACGAAGTGAAAAATCGAAAGAAAAATAAATTGGAATAAAAATGATTTTAAACTAAAAATCAAGAAAATAAAATTAAACAATCTTAAGTGGACTTAAATGTGTGCTTTTTAAGAAGAAGTAAAATACATTGGAATATTAGTGCAAAAATAACACAAGTCAATTACCAAGAAATACAAAATTCAATTAACACACCTTATCCAATAAATAAAAAAAAACACAGTGCCAAACCGAACCACTGTGTGTGAGTTTTTTTAAATCAATAAAATGTTAGAATTTTATCCAATGCCTACAAATCTAAATCATGGTGCCTCCTTGTATCCCCATCATCATCATGGTCAGAATCATGGTGGTGCCAGATTTTTGGATAATCCAAATGCCATGACGGCCCCGAACATGAACAACAATAACATAAATCAGCAACAACAACAGCAGCAGCAATCACACCAAATGCTTGTCTCACCCAGTCTGGCCGCTTGCCCGCCAACACACAATAATCATAACAGTAATTCCTTAAACACCTGCTCGTCGACAGCTTCATTAACAGCTCAAACATCAGCTGCCTGTTTGCCGGCCTCGAGTTCAGAAACTTCACAGGCCACAGCAATTAGCAGCAACAACAACAACAGCAGCAGCAGTTGTAACAACCTTAAAGCAAATTTAAACTCTCTGAATACGGTAGCATCATCAAATTCCTGCTCCACCACCTCCTCAACATCATCATCCTCCACCTCTTCGTCGTCCTGTTTAACAACAACATTGGCTACATCGTCTTCGAACTTGACGGCGGCAAATACCAGCAGCAGCATTAGTTCCTCCTCGACCTGTACAAAATTATCTACGGATTGTAATGGACGCACAGGTTGGTATCATTTACACACTGTTTCTTTCGGGTTTTTGTGAAACGATGACCTACGGCAGTCAGCAACATTCTAAAAGCGAAAATAGTTTGCTTGGATTTCTTAAGCCTTTCAGCATTCATCTGGATGTTTTTGTGTGTGTGCAAGTAAAAACTTTTTTGGGGAAACATTTTCAAAAACAAAAAAGTGAAAAAAGAGTTTTTAGATTTTCACCTTGATTTTCTTCGTTAACATCTTCTTTTGTTTTGCCACTCCACCTCCTACCTCCTGCATTTCGTTGCGGTAATGAAGGAAAATATCCTTAAAATAATTCTTTTGGTTTTATAACTTAGGTGTTGGTATGTTTACCTTAATTTATTTACAAGTTTTGTTCTCAACTCTTCTGGTACAAGGTATTGAATATTTGGTCACTTTTTGTTGTTGTTGTTGCTGTTGAGAGTTTTAATGATGACATTCTCTTTTGTGGGAGGTGGGAATATATTTTTGATATTAAAAATAAAAAAATTGTATTTTTGATATACGGTCGAGTACGGTTATAGCGAACTCGTGGGGACCAAGCAAATTAGTTCGTTATAGAAGAAGTTCGTTATATCTAAGGTAAGGCAAACTATAGTCTTAGTAGAAAAATATATATTCAGTTAGAAATTGGTAGATTTTTTGTCCTTTTTGAAAATTAGTAAGATGCTTCTCCTTTTCTTTAATGAATTTCACATTACATCTGACATCTTTTGTAAAGATTGTCAACGTTACAGTAAAAATTAACTTTTGTGAAGATTATGATCGTCAGTATTAAACCAAATTAAAATATATGAAAAGTGAATGTTGGGACCTAATAAAAAGTTCGTTATATCCGTAATTTTTCTATAAGAGTAAGGATTTCTATGAAAAATATGTCTTAAAACTTCGGGACCTGGAAATGTGTTCGCTGTAAGGAAAGTTCGTTATAACCGGTGTTCGTCGACTGTATTATGAAGAATTGTGAATACTGTTTCGGTATTTTTAAAGTCTTATCCACATATTTCAAACAAAGTCACAGTAATTCGGCGTTTTCCCCCATAAGTCAAAATATAGGTTCACAATCTATACATAGCCTTCATATTTAGCGTACGGTATTTCGAATGGCCCATTTTTCGGCATCTCGGGTTTAATAGATAGTAGACCTTTCTAAAAAAACTCTGAACAGAACGTTTTCAATTATTTTGACATATAAAATACTGTCGTTGGTTATGATTTCTTTTTTTAAAAATTAAAAAAAAAAAAAAATGTAGAAACACTTCAATACTAATCCATGAATTATGTATTTTGAGGTTCACATTAGAATTTCCGGAAGAAGTTATTGTAATTTGGTTCTCAATGAATAAAAATACCCATACTGAAAATTCTTTATTCTAAAATGGAAGTTGTAAAAAAGTTTCATACAATTTTGTTTGTTTTTTTACAATTTTGGGGTACTATGGAAAATCAATACATACTCAAGTTCTTGGAAAGTGTCAAAATTGGTCCACGACAATTCGGTCTAGCATCATCTAAGGTTTAAGACTATAAATTTCATGATAAAATAATTTTAATTGTCTTCTCTAATTTTAATAGTATTCTCTAAAAAGAAGATATTAAAAAAATATATATACAGACATAAAATATTATTTCAGAATCTTTCACTGTCTTTGTAACAGTCTACACATGTTTATTGGCCACATTCGTATTTTTCATTCAACATAATTAACTTCCCTATACTGATCATTGCAATCCTTGAAAGTGAAGCCTTATCAATGCCATTTTCGTAAAAACAAAATGTTCGCTGGGGTTAAAGCCTTGAAAGTAGTATTACTCAGGACTGCTTATTCTTTTAGGAAAACAAAATGTTCGCTGGGGTTAGGTCTGACGAAGTCGGTGTAAAATAAGTCGAAGCCCAAAACATTGATATTTAATATTGTTTTCAAAGAATTTTGTAAAAGTCGCTTTTGGTAATCCTACCTATTTCATAGCTGCAATAAAATTTAGTTTACGTGCATCAGCGTCAGCATCAGTCGTCATAAGAAGATTATAGGAATGTGTTCATTTATTGTCACAAATTTATTAGGCTTATTATTTCTTGTTAATTTTTCTTCTGTGGGTAAAAACCTTATTCATGGTAAAAAACTTCAGTCACGTTTTTACTTAATATACCAATCCTTCCGAAACTCATCCAGCAAAATCTCTTGTAATCCATTTCTCTGGCAATATCTAGTTTCCACCAAGTGAAGATAAAAGGGATTTAAACTATTTTAATTGTTCTGTTAGAAAATTACTTGTAATATACAGGTATTTTGTTTTCGAAAATTAAAACTTCTCCCAAATTTTGCCAGTTTTTTTTCAACATCACGAAAATATGACATGAACCTGTCACTCCCGACCACAACAGTTAATATAGTCAATATTGGCATAATTGCAGATTTTGTTTGTCATTTATGTCATTAAAAGGCAGTCAATAATCGATAAAAATACTTCTGGCCTGCCATTTATTTTTTTGTTTTGTTTTTGGCTGACTTCAATGATGGGTTTATCTATACTCCATATAACCCTTTTGTGTGCGTGTTTTTTTTTCTACCCTACCACCAAACTACCTTTGGTTTCCTTTTTCGGCTAATCTTATCAAAAGCTTATCATCAACCATTTGATTGTCGTTCGTCCATCTAAATATATATTTGAACAGCTACACATTTAAACAAGTTCAACTTTAATCGGTTCTCGTTATCTTAACTATTTAATGTTGATATATTATTGCGATTATATATACTCGTATATACATTGGATAGGATTTAAAGGGGGGTGTTCAATATTTATTTTGTAAACGAACGAACGAACAGAGTGTCATATTTTTTTATATTATTATGTTGAAGGATTTTCTGTCATATTTTTCAAGTATCACAAGATAATAGATTAGAAGGATCAAGTGCGCATTTGAATGATTGACATAAATGTCAATAGTTACAGTGCATATTTATACATAACTGCATATTGTAATGAACTATATTTGATGGAATATTTAAATTTTCTTTTTTTTGGTTTTATTCCAATTATTTAACCCGCTCTAATATCCCAGCCAAGTGTTGCATGACAATTTCCAAACAAATTGTTCGTCAAATATTTTCGTCTTCGAAAATATTTTGAATATATTTGCAACAGATGTAGCCACTTACTAGACATAATCACTACCACCACATATGATATGGGCACCAAACACATGCATATACGCACGTATACAATCGTGTGTATTGAAATTTAAGGCATGTCGATGTAAAATTATTTAAATTTAAATGATAAATAAAATTGTTATGGATTGCAAAAATATTTAAATTTACTGTTTTCATAACTAATCAAATATTACAAATTGTTTAAATTACATTTGAAATTATAATGAAATTAACGGCAATGTCAAAAGAAATAAAGCGAATAACTTTCTTTGTAGGAAAAATAATGTTTAGAAAAAGATGTCTTAGAAATCTTCTACAGTCTATCATTTTCTGAAGTTCCTTTTTAAGGTTCCATTTATCCCAGCCAGTAATTTTCAAAAAAAAAAAAAAAATTACCTTGTAAGATCAATCGAAAGTTAATATGCGATAAATGGGCCCAATTTTACAATATTGAGACATATTTCCAAACCTAGAGTGCAGGGTTACTAACTAATCTACAGGATAATTAACTACGTAAGAAATAAAGCCAAACTTGTAATACCTATTATATAAAGGGTGAAAATAAGAAATCTGTCATATGTGGCGGATTTAAGGATTCTATTTTTCGAAGCTTGTAATTTTCCAAATATGACCTTGTAAGGTCAATCAAATGTCAATGTGGGATACATGTCTTCTATTTTACAATATTGAGATATATTTCCAAGCAAAAGATGCAAATTCCGTTTCCAAAATCAGAATTTAACTGTAAAATATAAGTCTTTAGTATAATGGGAACGGATTATCCGATTTGATCCCGACTTGGTAATGCATGCTACCGAACCTTCTGGTACTGTTCCCATAAAATGATCAAAATATGTAAAAATCTGTAAATCTCATAAAAAGCGAACAGAGTGTTCGATTTGATAAACATATATATTTAACAAATATAATTTTAAATCTCATACAAACGGAATGGTGTATCTTTACCAAACCAACTTTAACACTAGATTGCCGAAGGCGGTCATTTTGACCATTTTTTAATATTGGTTAAAATTTGGTGATTTTTTTAAAATAAACACAATTTTATGTGGTATAAAACGTCACCACATTTTAAAAAAAGGTGTCATTAAATGCCCAGTTGTTTTTGTACTTGAAATTGAAAAACGGTCAAAATGACCGCCTTGGGCAATCTAGTCTTAAATTAGTTTATTTTGAAAGTGGTTTAAGTCCATTTGTTCTTATATTGAAATATTTAAAAGTTTGGGTTTGATTTGTTTCAAAAACATTTGCCCCCTAAACATTTGTAAACTTTTTTAGAAAACCAAGATATTTATCGTAACCTAATATGGACTTAATCACTTTCAAAATAAACGATTCAACTATGAATGTGGGATCCATCCCATAGTAATTACCACACCTTTCCCTTAAAAAATGTTAAAATTTGGTTCAAATTTTGCACACTAAAATAAAACACCTACCAATACTTATTATTTTCTTATATTATATTGATGAACCATTTACTCAACTATTTTTAGAAAAAAAAAAAAAACATTCCTTTAAGGAAAAACAAAAGAACTTGTCACCTTGCAATTGATGTGCTGTGGTATTGTTGACATCTGTTTGTGATGTCTGCTGCCAATGTTACTTGAAATAAATTTCAATATTAAATTTAAACATTTCTTTGGTTTTCCTCCAAGTCTGAGACCCCAAACCCCTTATACTATTTATGGTATTGTCGCCATTGCCATAACTTTCCATTCATCCTGAACAACAAAAAACATTCGATGTAAATCACCTTTTCACGGTTATTTGCTCTAAAAATAGGTAGTCTCAAAAATAATACCCGATGTCAAAGTGAAAATATCCATTGCAGTTGTTGTTGTAGTTGGGGAATTATAAAAAATCTACTAAAAACCGCAGAGAAAAATAACCATAAAAACAACGAAATGTAAATAAAACGAACACTTCTATAAATCATAGAGTCAGAGTGTATGGGTAACCCAGTAAACATTGCAACGTGAGAATGAGGATTTAGTACATTTATTTAATAACTATGAAATAAATGTATAAGTTTTAAGAAAGCTGGATACAAATTAATCTTGAAGTTTTCTTTGGGTTTTATTAAACTCATATAAAGGCTATATGAAAATATCACTCAATAAAATTTAATATATAATTATTTTTTTAATTATATATTAACTTTATACGTCTAAAAGTCTTGGTAGTTATGCCTTCTTATGATGTAAAACTCACCCGTATCTTTTAATGTCTGTGCACTTTTTCAATCACTTTTAAATTATATGTAGTAACAGAATTTATCTTCTCATACAGTTGATTGGGTTATCAAGTCACTTGTAGAAACCAACAAGTAGTGTATAATACATCCTCTTTAAATGTGTGTGAGTGTGTGTGTTAGTAGATTTGACTCCACACAAAACCCCACTTCCTTTCAATGGAATACATCATAAACAATAACTACCACTACATTCATGAATCGTTATTCTCCATATCATAGAGAACATTTTTTAACATTTCAATGGAAGGGAGTAAGAGAATAGCTCACACTCTCTCTCTCTCTCACACACCATCTCTATTTCATGTAATGTTGTAAATACAGATTTCAGTTTTAGTCTCCCCACTAAAAACATAGTATTGGCGTAAAAAAATTCTGGTCTGCTCCTTGTGCTAGTATTAGATTCAGCTTAACTGTAAAATACGAGCTCAAGAGTTTCGTTTGCCAATTTGATTTATGAATGTCGCCGTCGGCATTGTTATATGCAAACATTTTGTTTGTTTTTTCTTTTTGTGGTACAGTATGCAATCATAAAAATTGCATTTTGATTATGACACAAAAAACATTCTAATGCAAAACACAGAACAAAAAACCCAATGCAAAAATAAAAATCCAAGAGCACGCAATGTCAATAATATCATAAAACCGGATACATATGTATAGATGGCTATACGAAAATGTATATTTATATTTTGTATTTATATGCAGACAAAAGGGAGTTTATCAATGATATGCTTAGTAAATCATATGTTGATATATTAAGCACTTTAGGAAAATATAAAAGGGTACAGGGTTGCTAACTAAACTACAGGGTAGTTGACTAAGTAAGAAATAAAGTCAAACTTGTAACACCTATTATATATAGGGAGAATTGGCTCCCAACTTAGGGTCTTAAGCAGCATAAACCCCTGATCCACTGGAGAAAATGTGGTTTTGCTTGACTGAATTTAACATATCCTGACCAATATATATTTTCAATTCATTCTGCATTTGCATTTTATAGATACCAGATCTTAGGTATTTATCTTTCAAAGTTCTCAAGACTGATTAAAGTTAAGGACATGCTTAAAGCTATACCTTATCATGTAGTCTATGGTAATAGGAATTTCAACATATTTTCCATGGATTCACCTTTTTTTGGGCTTTAAGATTCCCCACGTTTATAGAACTTTGACGTACAGGAGATTCCTGATGGTCTACTAAAGATATGCTATGGCTAAGATCAATTTTACACAAAATTCCTTATACAGATCATCTATAGCTAACCTTTAGTGGGTCTTCTATACCTAGACGACATTTTAAAGGCCAGAAGACCTTTAATAATTACATTATTGCATTTGAAAATTTCTTAAAGGTCACATAGAACTTTAGATACCCTATATATCGAAGAGCCTTTTTGTTCGTCTTTCTTAGACCAGACAGCTATGTACAATTTTTCTATGACAACTATATAAGGTTTCCAAAACTATGAGATATTTTATTGGCCTTATGACTACAATTTTAAATGTGTAATGTCTTTAGCTGCCGTCTATGTCTTGAATCTCCTAAAAACTTATCCAAATAAATCTCTTTTTCATCTTTTTTACAGAAGTCGATCAAATCAAATGTGAAAAGAATTTCGAAGTCTGTGAAGGATGTGGCCTAAAGATACACGATCGTTATCTGATGAATGTGGGCGATACAAATTGGCACGAGAACTGTCTGTCCTGCTGCTATTGTGGCCTACAGTTGCATCAGACCTGTTATGTGCGGAATGGAAAAATGTACTGTAAAATGGATTATGATAGGTAAGCATACGAAAATAACAGGAGCTTATATGCTGCAATGTTCACCTTTTTAAAATTTCATCGATTTCCAGAATTTCGAAAACTAATCAAATATTTTTTTTTGTTTTTCAGATTATTTGCCTTCAAATGTGCTGCATGCTGTCATCCAATTTTACCCCAAGATATGGTTATGAGACCCCTGCCAAATTTAATATTTCATTTGTCGTGTTTTGTGTGTTACGCCTGTCGCATCCCCCTGCAAAAAGGTGAACAATTTATGCTGCGAGATGGTCAGATTTTATGTTTTCGCCACGATTTGGAAAAGGAAATGTTTTTAGCAGCTGCTGCTCAACATTGTGGCTATTTGGGTTTGGATGATGATGATTTAATGCGTCCACGTGATGGACGGCGGGGACCTAAACGACCACGCACCATATTAACATCGGCGCAGCGTAAGCAATTCAAGGCCTCCTTTGAACAATCACCCAAACCCTGCCGTAAGGTACGTGAAGCTTTGGCCAAAGATACGGGACTGTCGGTACGAGTTGTCCAAGTGTGGTTTCAAAATCAGCGAGCCAAAATGAAGAAAATCCAAAGGAAGGCGAAGAATAATAACAACCGCCAAGGGGATGGTGACAAGGATAAGGATGGTAAAGACAAGGATGGTATTAAACAAGAAATGGGCTCCGGTTCGGGTAGTGAAAACGGTTATCTGGGTATGGACAATTCATATGCCACACAGCCGTTAAATCCAAACCTACCCTTCTCACCAGATGGTAAGTTATTAAAAAAAAAATAAAATTTTCTATGGCTTTGAGGCTTATTTGCTTGTTTCATACTTTCAGACTATCCCGCCAATTCAAATGATAGCTTTTGCAGTTCTGATCTCTCTTTGGATGGCAGTAATTTCGATCACTTGGATGATGATGCCGACTCGTTGTCGCTTAACAATTTGGAACTGCAATCGACCAGTTCATCGGGCCACCATCACAATTCCAATCCTCAAGATATTCTAGCCAATTTGAATAATAACCTCATAAATCCAATTGATAAATTATATTTAATGCAGAATTCATATTTTCAAGGAGATTCTTAAGTTCTATTTAAAATGGAATTATAATATTTACAAAAACCAAAAACAAACTAAACCAAAAAATTGTACGAATTTATTAGCCAGTAACTAAAAACAAACACAAAAAACAACAACATATATGAAAACATATTAATACAAAGTTTCAGCTGAAACGGAACCGGAAATACAAGCGAACAAACACAAAAAAGGAAAAACTAAAATTTTAGAACATGCAATTCTTTTTCAAATAATAGTTTTTAACCACAATAGGAAGTAGTAGATATATTGCTCCACTCCCTCCCTTCCCAAATGTTCAAGCACAAACAAAATGGAAAATAGATTAGAACAGAACAGAAAATTGGAAAATGTGATTTAAACCAAAAAAAAAAGGAAAATCGTTTATGTTATTATTTTTTCTATATTCCTTATTTGTTTCAAAATTCGGTTTTATTTTAGAACCTTGTAAATTGTATTGTATAAAATAAGTCGCAACAAAAAACAATGTAATTTTAATTATTTATTGTCACTGTGAAATTGTTATAGCATTTATAAGTAAAAAAACAAACAACCATAATTATTAATTTATTATGTCATGTATTGTATTAAATTAAGAAAAAAACACAAACAAATCTAAAACAAAGAAACCATGTTAGTAATTTAATAAAGAGTAAAATACAAACGATAAAATCAAAATATTCCCAGAACAAAAGAAGAAATGGATTTACAGATTTATTCAAGTTCGTTTCTAACATAACTTTTTTATACACATCTAACAATTTTGACAGCTGTACATAACACAATTGTGATAATAAATTGGTACTCTTTTGCGTGGCCTATCCTAACCAGTATTCATGTCAAAATAAACCCAAAAACATTGGTTAAGATCTCCAGCACACATGTGATAAAAATGACGAAAAGCTGGATCTACCGAACATATGCTGAATATATATTCTAAGAGGATTCGTACTTTCTATGGATCAGAAATTCAAAAGGACCTGTTTTGTTCTAGGCGAACCTTCAGCGAATCAAAAACTAAATACAAAATTTCAATTTTTGGTTGTTTGCGTTGTCCACAACAAAGTAGGTCTTCCCCAGATCCCCAGAGCGTCGTAACTGTTGTTGTATCATGTGTTTATGGCTGTAAGGTTTATGTATGCAAAGGTTGAAACAGGTTTATTCGAATGGAGTAGTTCTTTTTTTTTTTTTTGCTCACAATAGTCAAGTTATCTCCTTGGGTGTTATCCACGGGAACGTCCCTATCATAGCCAGGAACAGCTTGCCCAGGCAAGCTTGTCACGAGGGATACTCATGACCTAGAAAAGGAGGCTCAAAGTGTGAACCTCTACAGACCTATCAACAGATCTAAATAGCATTCATACATACATACGCCCACGAAGCTGAGTCAACTCATATACATCCAAATTCCCTGCTGCCGCAGACAATACAGGTTGCAATCCTTCCTAAATTTCGATACAGAGGAGTCAGAACCAGGATAATGCGTCAAAATATTTAAAATATCGCCAATTACACCCACTTCGATTGAGGCAATAAAAGGCTGTAAGGAAATTAGTAAAGTCGGACTAGGACTTCTTTAGGTATATTTAACATATGTATCCTAACAGACGTCTCCTTTTTGTAGGGACATTAACATGGAATTGAACGAACATAAATATGTGATATTTATCTATATGTTAACCGACTAACGACTTTTCACGAAACTTAGCACACATAATCAGATTCCATTCAGTACGCTATACAAAATTTCGTGCCAACCAACCGATAGAAATATAAGGGGTTTTGGTGCACCATTTACAAAAAATCGGATGTAAATATATAGGGGAGCTATATTTAAAACTGAACCCATTTTCACGAAACTTAGCATTTTAATTCGGTACGATATACCAAATTTCGTGCAATCGAAAGATTCGGACGAAAGATTCGGACGAAAATATATATTGGAGTTATATCAAAATCTGAACCAATTTTCACGGAATTTTGTGCGAAACGAAAGAAATATAGGGGCTTTGATGCCCTATTTACATAAAATCGGACAAAATTATATATAAATCCGAACCTATTTACATTTCAATAGGGTTCGTCATTGGGCCAAATAAATGAGCTGCACGAAATTTCAATCGGATTATAAAGTGATTTTACGCACATTCTCAAAAGGAACTATGGGTCGATATCGTTTCCTTTTCCATATTACAAACATATGCACAAATACTTAATTCCCTGTTCCTCAGTGTGGTGAAGGGTAAAAAAACATTATAGGGGTTAGGTCAATACATGCACCTATATAGATCATTTTCTTTCGAAATGCAAAAAAAATCAAAATGCCGAGAAATCGACCATCATACTAGAATGATAATATCGTCGTATTCTAGGAATATTATCAATGTATGTACGTTTCATGGCTCGATCTTAAACACTGCGATCTCTATCGTGATTTCAGCAAACAGAATTTTATTCTGATCAGGAATATATACCATATCTCCCATTAATCGATTATAACTTTACATAATTCAAACATGAATCCTTACTTTTCGCTTTATCCGGGGTGTGTTAAATATTGTATTACAATTTCAGTAGCAGTTCACAGAACAAAAAAACAAAAAACAGAAATCTAACAAAAATTCGAATTATCGAAACACACCCTCTCATTTATTTCACCACACTCACACATCCATATATCCATCACAAATCCCTCGAGTAAAATGAAAAGATCAAATCCCAAATGGTGCCGCTTACTAAGTCAGAAGCAAAAATGAAATTGATTAGATAGATTGTCGCATTTCTATCACCATTCGAATAGACGCCCACTTTTTTTAATAAATACATGTTATTTGTAATGGAAATTAAACAGTACGAATTAGATTCTCAAATCGGTCGGATCGGTAAAAGTGGAAACATTTAAAATAAAATAAATATAAATAAAAAAATCTCTAAAACAGGATCACAGGACAAATAATAAGTTCATAATAAATATATGTTATCCTTTGGATATTATTGGAAAGGATAATAATTCAATATGTGTAAACAATATATATAAAAAAATAAATATTCAAACGGACTTTTAAACGGACCTCAGTACAAATAAATAATTACAACGAATAAATATATTTTCTGATTTCTCAAAGGAAGTGCTAGAAAAAGTGTGCGAAAAATAAAAGAAAGTAGATGCTTGAATATAATAAATAAAAAATGCGGGCCATATGAAACAAATTCATATCGAATAGTCCTTTAAAATTGTTTATTATACACCAAAGGATATACACAATGCACTCCATAATATACTATTGTGTTTCAATTTTATTATGTTTAAACGGGAAATTCATTGCTGCCGACTATAATGGGCAACCAAAAATCATTTCTAAAAATGGCAATTTAATATTTGAAGCAGCCATTGATCGAAATATTAGTTTACGCCTAAGCCATGACTCTACACTGCAACTAAATAATGTCGATGTTATGGAAAAGATACGACAACTTTACACACCAGTCACATTAGATGGTGAGGTAAAACCATTAGATGTTCCAACAATTGAAAAAGCCGGTACAGAACTTCACGCACTTCGTGATGATATTCAACGATTGGTGCGTAGGTTTTCGATACTTCAAAATCGTACACGAAATACAATAGGACCCCGTGTGTTACGTCGTCAATTGGCCCGTTTGCGTAGATTAAGTGGCCGTCTGGCTGTATTGGATGAAAATTTAAATAAGGACGAATGTGCCATGGCAGTGGAACCCTGCAAGAATGGCGGTACCTGTTATGATTTATATAAAGGATTCCATTGTGAATGTCCTGAGGGATGGACGGTAAATATTTGTATAGCCTCTACAATAAGGTGGTCAGAATAAAATTCTTCGACGATTTATGCATATCCTGGATGGATATATCGGTCAACGGTCCAACAGTACCCCCAAATATTCTGTATTTTGGGAATCGTTGGCAAATTTTTATCCTGATTTTACTTTAATTTGCCATTGAATAGCAAATCTCCCTGACCGATATCGGTTCACTTGTTATACCCTCCACTATAGTATGGAGGGTATATTAAGTTTGTTTTCCCTTTTGTAACTCATCGAAATAATCAGCGTAAAATTCGATTTAAATCTGTACGTCTGTCTGTCCTTCTGCCTCCAAACTAATTGAGATAGATCGCCAAAATTTAGCATAGAGTTGTCTTATGTCTGCAGGCAGGTCAAGTTCGACGATGGGCTATACCGGCCCACGTTTAAGCGTAACTCCCATATAGGGTACCTCCCAATTTTCGGTATTTTTAGGTTCTAGAGTGCGTTTTTCAACCGAATTCTCTGACATTTGGTACATTGGGTTCGTACCAACTAACTCCACTAAAAATTATATATAGGTCCACTTTTGGGCCAATTCTGTTCTTAAATACGCTCAAAAGTATTTTAGAACAGAATTGGCTGTAATTTAGTACTTTGAGTTCTTATTGGGTGGCAAATCTCTTCACTAAAAGTTAAAAATATAGGTAAATTTTTTCGGGTAGCCCACATATAAGAGTACCGCCACTTTTCGGTGTTTTGGGGATCTTAAGTGCGTTTTTCAACCGAATTCAGGCATAGCTCCTCATATTGTGTATTTTCCGAACTTATTTTCTAAGGCTAAATTTGAATCACAGATTTTCAATTAACAGCAGACAAAAGTTAAATTTTCTTTTTTAATTTTTTTTCTTTTTGAAAATTGTGCATTTAATTTGTTTTTCTCATTATCTCAATAATTTCTAAAATATAATTTGAAGTGTTTACGCCACAAATTTCGGTGATATGATAATTAGATACAAATTTAGGGGGCGTTTACTTCTTATGTTATTATTAGCATTTTGGAATTTTTGTTTTTAGGGGAAAACATGCGAGCAAGATGTTGACGAATGTTATCTATTGGCTGGAACAGATTTGGGATGTCAAAATAATGCCGTATGTCAGAATACGCCCGGTAGCTACAAGTAAGTATGATAATATTAATTTGACCATTTTTTATTAAAACTATTTACATTTTTAATATGTTTTTTTTATTTTTGTGTAGATGTATTTGTGCGAAAGGTTTTTCGGGGACCCATTGCCGTTTGCGAAACTCCATTTGTCAACAACAACAATCGCACGAATTGTGTGGCCATGGTGTTTGTGTTCCAGCAAATAATGACATAGGTTTCACCTGTATTTGTGATCAAGGTTGGACCAAAGATTCCACTCTAATTGGAACAAATTCCAGCTCAACGCCCGTGTGTGACATCGATGTAAACGAATGTGAAGAATCACGAAATCCATGTCACAGTGAATGCATAAATTTACCGGGTAGTTTTAAATGTGGACCTTGTCCGGCAGGATATACAGGAAATGGTGCAACATGTTTGGATATAGATGAGTGTGCCATAAATAACGGAGGTTGTAGTCTTCAGCCTAAAGTTCGATGCATTAATACTGAGGTAAGTTGGAGTGGAGAGATTGTTTTGGAAATTGAAGATATTTGGAATGTTTTGAACAGGGTTCCTATCATTGCGGTAAATGTCCTGTGGGTTGGATTGGAGATGGCCATACTTGTGATTTGGCACCCTCAAACTCTTGCGACTCCGAACATATTTGTCATCCCCAGGCAAAATGTGAATATATTTCCAATGTTGCCACCTGTACCTGTCCCCATGGTATGTTTGGCCATGGCTTTGGACCGCAGGGTTGTCATACCACACCCATTGAAGATTCCTGCGAGAAACATTTGTGTCAGGTAAACTGATAATTAAATTGGGTTTAAAAATCAGACATATAATACAGTTTACTTACAGAATAACGGCACCTGTTTGACCACGGGACGTGGTACCAGTTGCATTTGTCCTGAAGGTTATTCCGGAGCTCTGTGTGAAACTGCAGATGGCTGTCATCCAAACCCCTGTCAAAATAATGCAGTGTGTAAACCCCAACCCAATCAATCGTACAAGTGTTCCTGCAAACGTGGTACCACGGGCAAACACTGTGAAATTGTACGCAATGTCTGTTCCACAATACTGAGACAACCGGCAGGGGAATTAACCTACCCCACGGAAAATGCCACCGCATATGCACCAAATGAAAGATGTGCCTGGATAATACGCACGCAGCCGACACAAATTTTTAATCTCACATTTACCTCATTCGATTTGGAAGAGGATCCAGAATGTGGACGCGATTGGTTGCAAATTCACGATGGCAATTCATTGTCGTCTCAGTTACTGGGACGATTCTGTGGCAAGGACCTGCCTATGGGTGGTAATATATTGTCCTCGCAAAATGAATTATTCTTTTGGTTCCGCAGTGATAATGCCACACAAAGAGGCGGCTTTCACATGGAGTGGCATACCCAGCCACATATCTGTGGAGATTCATTGGATCTCCAGGTGGGAGATGAGGGAATTATTCGTTCTCCTGGTTATCCGGCTAAAAGTCCAACTTCCAGAAATTGTCAGTGGGATTTAACGGCACCATATGGTTATCGGTTTGTTTTGAGGATTTATGAGATCAATACCGGCAATCGTCCCAATTGCAGTGGGGATTCACTGAAGGTCGGTACACAACTTGCTGGTATTCTAATAAGCTTTTTAACAATATTTTTTATGTTTTTCAGGTTTATGATGGTGATCTGTTGCTAAAGCAATATTGTGACACCTCATCCACAGAATTTTTTAAGACTACATCCAATAAACTTTCAATACATTTCCACACGGATCTCATCAAAGCGGACAGCTCTTTTCAGCTGCACTACGAAGTGGAATCTTCAATGCCAAATTGTGGTGGCATTTTCACTCACGCCTCGGGGGTCATTGTGGGACCCAGCGACCCATCGATATGCTCATATCTAATACAACAAACATCGAATACCCAAATTCAATTGGAGTTCAATGAATTAAATCTTTCCGAGGAGGAAAATTGTAATTTGAATAGTATTGAGGTATGGACGCAGATTTGTCCTGTACCCAAATGAATTAAAGGCGAACTATTTTTTATTTTAGATTTTTGATGGCAAAACTAATGAAGATCCACGCTTGACATTTATATGCAGTACAAGGATTCAGGAGAAAATAATATCTTCATCCAATTTTGTGCTCATCAGATTTAAGAATACATTAGACAAGGGTAGTCTTACGACACCCTTTAAAATCAAATACTCAAGAGGTAAGGAAGGTTAATTAAAAGGAAGATGAATCTGAGTGTGTAGAGTTTCTACCACTAAAATGTAGACCGATATTTTTTGCATATACGGATTTCCCAAAAATACGTTTCTAGGCTTTTAAACATCTATTTGTTTGTTTGGAATGTGATGCGATATTCACCATCAACGCAGATCGGCCTATAGATCTTTCGTAGATCTTTTCGTCTCAAACACTCCAAGAGCTACCACATCTGCTTGCGCAAGTACCCATGCTTCAGATCCATACAACAGTACGGGTAGTATAAGCGTCTTGTAGAGTGTGAGTTTGGTCTGGCGAAAGGTGGACTTGTTTCTGAATTGCTTACAAAGACTATAGTAGCATCTGTTGGCCAACGCAATTCTCATCATTAGTTTTATTTATAGCGGTACCAAGGTATATAAAATCATTGACTAACACGAAGCTGTAGTTCTCTAGTGTTCCACCGTTGGTCCGAGTCTACTGGACGTCTTGCGCGTTCATACCATCAGCTTGGTCTTTCCTTTCCAACTTTTACTGCTGACGTTGTGCCAGTTGACACATACCGTATTTCTCCTTTTTTACACGGAACACAATCATTGGCATGCATTCCTCTAGACAGTTTGTACTAATTAGCTGGTGCTTTCTCCTGACCAGCATCTGACCACCGGCCTTGATAGTTCGGCTGGTAATCCATCGACACCTGATGCTTTATTATTCTTCAGTCGATTAATTGTTATTCTGACCTCGTCTCTTATTGGTTCTGCTTCTTCCAGATCCTCAACGCTGTCTACAGGAAGATGTGCCTGCACCAAAGCCTTCAGTTTGGTGTTTTGCTCACGCTCACGTTTTTCTTGTTCTTTGTTGACTTTTCTGAAAATTCTCCATCACATTACGTGTTGCCACTGTTTGCAGGGTTGCCCTCTACGCTGCGTTTTTCACATCAGTAGCATTACGACACTCCTGATCGTACCACGGGTTTCTTGATGGCGGTCTTTGGTACCCAAGTGTTGTTTTTGCTGCAGTTTGTTGGGAGTGGGCGATTATTTGCCATTGTGCTTCTATATTCATATCGGGACAAGTAGTGCTTTCGTCAAGCAGGTGGATAAGTTGAGCGGAGTAGGCTTTTGTTCCCTGTTGTGTTTACAGCTTTTCGACTTCGATATTCGCTGCTCGCATTTATCGAACATCTAAACCACTGCTTTACTAATATTATATATTTCATCAAGGGCTATCGAGGCCCCGATGATCCATCTATAGGGTCCGGAATTCACAAAATATTGCAGGTGGAGATATTTTATTTATTAAAAGTGGTACGCCACTTATTTTCTTTTCTTTTGTGCTGGTTTGAAACCAACCCGTTATGAACTTCTTTGGACAGAACCTTAAAAAGAAACTATACATTAGAACTTTTTACCGGGTTAACCTACTTTATGAGGATTCATTTGATATATATGCAAAGGAATTGACAATTGAAACCCATTGGGTTAACGAAACCCGGTTAAATGTAAACGTACTATAACTGACAATTCTCTTCAGTACTTATACAATAGGAATACCCCAATGTCAGAATCATTCATCTAATCATTATTTCTGTTTTACTTATTAGCATGCGAATTTAGATACTTTGGCCCAGAATCGGGAATAATAACCACACCCAACTATCCGAATGCCTACACCGAACACATGACCTGTACATATCACATTTATGGACCAGCTATGACAGTGGTACGTGCTAATTTCACCGATATTTCATTAGCTGGAAATGGACGCAATGACACTGATGGCAACACTGAAACAAGTTTAGATGGGTCTATCACATATTTTGAGGTAATAATATTGATACAAATTAAAATAGACTATTATACACACTATTCGCTATATTTTAGGTATACCTGTCGAACAGCAATAAACAGCGTTACTATAAAGCCTCACCCATGGAACTGATTTCCGAATTGAATAAAATGACAATTGTATTTCATTCTGCCAAAAATTCTGCAAAAGCTCGTGGGTTTCGTCTGGAATATTCATTCGATGAAATACGGTGTGGTGGTGTTTACACAAAAGAATCCGGAGATTTTTCTGAATTCGCTGCGGGACGACCGACGGTTTGTAAACTTATTTTTGAAGCACCGACAGGAATGAATATTTTATTATCATTCGATGTATTGAATTTTGAGAGTTATTACGGTGGAAATAGTGCTCTGCTGTATGCAAATGTTGGCGGAGAAGATATTTTGTTGAAGAAGTAAGTTAAAATTATATATCAAATTGAACGCTGGTCGGTTAATATAATTGATTTTTGTATTTACAGTGTGTCGGGATCGAAATCATTTCGTGAACTTTTACCCCATAATCTTGTGACATTGGTGCTAAACAGAAACACCTATTTGAGCAGTGGAGTGTATCGCTTTATTTCACCGGAAATTGGTAAGCACAACGAACAGGGAATTTTGAATTGTTGGCAGGCATTAGTGTAGATGTTTGGTTGTGAAATGACTCTAGAGGCTTTCAAGTACTATGCACCTGCGTTATATCGTCGCTTCGTAAAGACATGAACCTATATACATGAAAACATTCACGTATTATGGAGAAGTGATCACTTGCCCTTCGACAATCCCCAATACCCGACTTCTGCAAATAATATAATAACAAATATTATTAAACCCTCTATACTTATGTTGAAGGGTATATACAATTAAAATATTTTCCTGCTATTTATACTAATCACGTATAGTATAAAATGTCTGACATAGTCAGGATATTAAAATTACATTTACAAGACCTATTATCAATTATTTGATTCCATGGATTTAAAATAGTTTAATTTGCACATTTCTTTATTCTCGTATACTATTAGCGTGTGGAGGCGAATATCGAACATTATATGGTGTTATCAAATCGCCCAATTGGCCTAGACCCTATGCTGATAATATGAATTGTACATGGGTAATAACAGCCCCGCTGGGTTTTAAAATCGAATTAAAAGTTCAAAACTTTACTCTGGAAGATGACTGTGTTGGAGACTTTTTGGAAATTAGGTAACGTAAAACTGCAGTAAATGATAAAAATATTCAAATCTGTTTTTATTTTCTCAATCTTTAGAAATGGTCCCACTGCAAATTCACCACTGATCGGTAGCTTTTGCGGTAATAAAATACCCTCCCGGATACCCTCGTTTGGCAATAGCCTCTTCGTTAGATTTCTCTCGGATGGTTCCACTCAGGGAAATGGTTTCCATTTGACTTGGGAACAAGTTGAAACTGGCTGTGGTGGTAAAATGACTTCGTATAAGGGTTCGATACACGCTCCTCTCACTACATTGGCCTATCAACATCAGCATACCTGCGATTGGCAAATACATGTGGCTCAGGGTTCTTCAATCACCCTGAATATCATTGGCAGTGAAGACGATCTAGAATTCTGTCACAACAAACGTTTAAGCATTTTTGATGGCACCCAACCTGCGGATAACCAATTACCATTCAATTGCTCCGTTCTACAGAAGCAGGGAAATTTGACTGTACGGTCATCTTCTAATCAATTGTTGATTATCTACAAAACCCCGGAGAATTTTGTAACAAAACCTGAATTTATTTTGGATTATGAAACCAATTGTAACATGGTCCTGGATCACATTCATGGCATTATTGAATCGCCTAATTTTCCCGAACCCTACCCGGAATTATTGAAGTGCAACTGGGACATTTATGCTGGTGGTGGCAAGAATAAAATCCAATTGGCATTTTCTCATCTCGATTTGGAAACTGAGGATATGTTGTGTGAACGGGACTATATAGAATTGTGGGATATGCAGAATACAAATGTCTTGAAAAATCGGCGTATCTGTACCCCGGTAATGGAACCCATAATATCAGAGGGCAATCATTTGCGACTGAAATTCATTAGTGATTATTCCAATAACAAGAATGGTTTTCGAGCTGAATATTCCCGTGTGGGATGTGGTCAAGTTTTTACAAAGAAATTCAATACCATTAAGTCGCCGAATTATCCACACAGTTTGGATTTGGATTGTGAATGGTATGTGGAGGTGGAGCCAGGTGAACAAATCGTATTAAATATACAGGAATATGTCCTCGATACGGAGACAACGGATTGCTCCCTTGATGGTTTAACGATTAAAGAGACAAAAACATCCAATCACACTCTCCTCGAACAATGTTCATCACTTACCGAACGCATCATGAAATTAACTTCACCCTCAAATCGTTTGTATTTGCAATATCGTTCGGGTTCCTCGGGAAATCGTAAATATTTTAAGGCCATGTATCACACAATAACAGCGAAATGTGGTGGCCTCTCCACCGCCCCAACTGGAAGAGTAGGGTCTCCGAAATATCCGCAAAATACTACCGAAGAAAATCACTGTAAATGGGAAATAGCCGTACCCAGTAGCACTGCATTTCAAGTTACAATTCAGGATTTGCAATTTACAGCATTATCATGTACCGCTAATTACCTTGCCATCTCCACGAATCGGAATAATAAAGAACAACTGTTGCACAAATTCTGTTCTTCTTCGCACGATATCAAAATACTGCAAATTCCTGAAAATAGTTTTATTATTGAGTATGTCGATGAGAACCCACAAGGAGGCAGTCGTTTTTCATTGATCTATCAAAAGCAATGTGGTGGTCCGATCGAAAGAGACGAAGGATTTTTGTATGCCAAAGCTGATGAGCGATGTGATTGGTCGTTTGATGTTCCGCGGGGTGAGTAGCGACGAAGGTCCACAATTGCCTATGATAGACATTATAATTTTCTTATATATTTCTAGGTACTTTAATAAGTATAAATATCTTAAAATTCTATTGTTATTGCAAAGAGGCGAAGGAAAATGGTTCAGGCAGAACCTGTGATAATCATGGCTTGGCGGTAAGTTCAATATTCTGGTGAAATAAAAACTATAAAAACAGAACCATTGCAACGACAAGTGACTCCGGTTGTTGGGACATGCTCGATTGCTGAAGTGACCGAGAGTGAATATATATGTAGCCTTATGGTGTTTTTACACGATATGTATTTTACATATGTGCTGTCACTTATTTCATCCATATGTAATTCCTTATGTGTGTCAAAATTAGCAGCGTACACAAAACTTTTATTTTTTGTGTTCAAATCGTAAATATTAATCGTAAACGGGAACTTGTTTACATCTTCATTAGAAATTACTTTTCATTCTAAACATTTTTGGCACAACTGTACTACTTGAACAAAATATTTCAAGTCTTCAAATAGTAACTTTGGTCATCACAACAATATTTAACTATTTTTATACCCTACACAACTATGTTGTCAGGGTATTAAAGCTTTGAACAGGCCCAAGAGTTTGTAACGCCGCGAAATATTGGTCCTAGTCCCACCTTTAAGAAATGGACCAACAATTTTATTTTTGTCGGGTTTTCTGGTCGCTCCAGTGGCCGCAATTATAGCTCAAACATCGCGAATTTTTTCATGGAGAACGGGGTCGGGCCAAAGAATAAGCATGCCTGTGTTGATAAGGATCGGTCAATATTTAGCGGTTCAAATGGACCCTGACTTTTGTGTGAAAAATGGCAAAATTTGTATTCTATGGCGTATATATTTACACCTGAAGGACATAAAGCCGAGAAGTTGATAATATATCCAAGAGAAGTGGTTAACTTTTAAGTTAATATCAATTATATTGTCATATGTTCTCGGATGTGGGAGTTACACTTCAATATATACAGGTGCTAACGTATTCAGATATTATTTAGTAACCCATTATCAAACTAGAGGGCGGAAATATAAAGCTGATCGATTTGAATTTTTTTATGAGGTTCCAGTTATGGTCAAGGACAACACCTATAATTTTCGGTGATGATCAGATAATAATTTTGGGATGAAGTGGACCGAAAACTTAATTTTTTATGATTTTTCGAGTCGATCTACAGGCCACAATCAAAGCCGAACATCACAACACACGGTAAAGGGAATATGGACAAGTAATTAGAAGGACTGTGCAGAATATTAGTAATATTCGGAAATTATGTCATTATTATGTAATATTATGAAATTATGTCGAAAATTCAAAAGAAACCAACATTTAACTTGGGTTACACTTGCCAAGAAGGCTGCCAGAGCATGGGTTGTTGAATTTTGAACAATAATTCAAATTGGAAGTTCCTTGCACATAGTTTAAACTTGTTCTCGATTATTGGTCCCCTGCGGTCGGAATTTTAAACTTGTTAATCCCAAAAAAATAACTCCTTCCCTTTTCAAATATTATCATCATTTCCAGATTACTACTCATTTGGGTGGAGGCAATGACACCAGTACCGAATACTTTTGCGAGAAGCATCAGACAAATTTGTTATATGAAGCCTCCAATTTACAGTTACAAACGAAAAATATCGATTTTTATGCTAAATTTTCAACAATTCAACACTCGTGCGGTGGCAATATTGAATCACCACTCGGCACCTTGGCATCACCATACTATCCCCAATACTATCCCGGCAATGTTGAATGTCAATGGTCGATAAAGGCCAACAAAGGTAATGCGCTGGAGTTGCACTTCGATGAGATGAACATCACCAAGAGTGACCATTGCAATGAAGATTTTCTGGAGATAAGAAAATCCGATTTTGGCCAGTTATTGGGTGTCTATTGTGGCAGTCAATTGCCTACGGATGTGATTCGTTCATACGAAGGCGTGTGGTTAAAATTCCACAGCTCTGAGGGTAGTACGGGTAAAGGTTTCAAACTAAAATGGAGTTATGGTAAGCAATTTAGCGAGAGTTGAAACTACATTTTTATTAAACCATTCTGTGAACTTTGCAGCCCATCTCAATGTATTTGCCAACCAAACTCTGGGTTCAATTGAATCGCCCCCCACCACAATGGTACATTATGAAGAGGAGCCATATGCCTGGCGTATCATTCTCCAAACTGGCCAATTTATAACTTTGGATTTTGAACATTACAGTGATGGATTGATGGTATGTGTCCATAACTTATGTAAATCACTTCCTAACTTCTAAGTGACTATTTTCATTTATCCTTCCAGCTCTATGATGGCTATGATGAAACAGCCCTACCCGTTAACATACCAACCTCACCCTGGCGTTTTGTTTCCTCCACCAGTGTCGTCTATTTGAAAACGATCAATGATAGACTTCGATATTTCTCTTTGAAATGGAATACTACCGACACGAAACCACTACCAGCAAATGGAACATTATCCGATTGTCATTCGGAAAGATTTTTGGGTTCGCATGCAATGACACATCTTGCTTCACCCGGTTATCCCATCGGCTATGCCGGCAATCTGAATTGTAGTTGGATTTTTAAAGCACAAAATCCAAGAGATCATGTCGTCTGTTCTTTGTACGAGGTCAACGTGGAGGAGAGTCATGAATGTGCCTTGGATTACGTGAAGGTATCAACATCGTCGGATCTCAGCAAATGGCATAATGTGGACAAGGTATGTGGTATCCGTGATGCAGATTCTACGCCATATCGTGTTTATCAGGGCAATCCACACATAAAAGTGGACTTTAAAACAGATGCCACAATTAACGGTACCGGTTTCATGGCGGTGCTATCGACCAAATGTGGTTCCAACCTCACCGGACCCCTGGGATTTATTGAGGGCGATAAAATTACCTTTGAAAATGATTGTCTGTGGCACATTCACGTCAAACCGGGTAAACGCATACTCTTGCAATTGGATTTTGCAGCACCTCCCGGTAATCGTGCGCACGATTGTTCCGAATACGCAGTTATTTACGATGGTTTGGATGAACATGCACCCCTTTTGGCACCTGGTAAACTGTGTAATGTTCAAAATACTACACAAATTCACATGAATTCGACCACAAACCACCTGACGGTGAAATATGTTCTTGCTTCCCATCGACCTTTCATGCCACCGAGGTGGAACCTTACATATCGTGAATATTCCACCTGCAATGAAGAATATCGCCTGATACCAGAAGCACCCAGCATAAATATTACCTCGCCCAATTACCCCTATGTGTCGTCGCCCAATACAGATTGTGGTTGGACCATACTTGCACCACCGGGTGAGATTATTCAAGTGCAGTTTATCGAACACTTTCATGTCCAGCCTAGAATATGTCAAAATGTGTATTTGGAATTATTTGATGGATCGACGGCAGTGGCACGAAGTCTGGGGCGTTTTTGTAATAAACCAGATATCGTGAGGACAACTCAAAACTCTCTTTACATCCACTATGTTGTGGACACAAATAAACCGATGCGTGGTTTTAAAGCCCAGATATCACTTAGCAAATGTGGTGGTGCATATAGCGCGGCCCAGGGACAAATTACTTCCAACGGTTATCCGACACGGGGTTCATATCCTTCCCATTCGCAGTGCGATTATGCCATCACAATGCCCAAAGGACAATTTATACGGCTAATCTTGGATGACATTCATTTGCCATTTAAGGCAGAGCAACCGAAATCCAGTGACTATTTGGAAATTATTCAAATTTCTGAAGATCCAGAGGAGGATGCCGAAGAATCCCTGTTCATTTATGGCAATGCCACAAAATCTACCCGCCTGGAATTGAATGTACACCAGGCCATTATTCGTTTCCATACCTTTGCCAAGACTACGGAATATCGCGGCTTTAAATTAAGCTACAGTCGGCTATTTAGCAATTGCCATCAGCAGGTTGAGGGTATATCGGGTTTCATTACTACATACATACCGGTGTCCTTCCGAGGATCTTATTGTCAGTGGAGAATAACGGTTCCGAAAGGCCAAAGGGTGCGTTTGGAATTTCTAAATATTGAGGATTTGAAAATGGAAAATATTACACAGTAAGTAGCACATTTTTATCAAATATGTGTTCGACGTTTTTCAATGCTTTAATGTTTTAAAAATATTTGTTAAAATCAGATTTTTGTGATTCTACATGTTTAAAGAATACCTCATAAGTTTTGTTTTTATTTTTATTGCTCTTTTCAGATATCCACATTTCCAGATTTACAATGACTTCGAGAGGCATTCGTTAATCCATAACTTCACTGTTGACACATTTGATGCGAGTAAAATAATTCAATCATCGGATAATTTAATGGCAGTCCGAATTGATAGAATGGGAAAATCTTTTGTTGGGAAAAAAATTAGAGCCCGTTATTCCTCCGATGAACGATCATTGTGTCCGAATAATATCGATGAAAACAATGTGGCAGGTTATATTGATATACAAGATCGCCAATTGCAGTTTAAGGACAACTATGTGTGTAAATCTAAAATTAAGTTCGATATCGGAAACACACTTGTCTTTAATATATCCAATTTCGAATATGAACATGTACCTGGTCGCCGTTTTGAATATAGCCCCTTGACCTTTGTGGATGGTATGGTTACAACAAATTACAGAGAGAACGTAACAAGTATCCTGCAGCCATTTAACCATGCTAACGGTGAATGGCGTGTAAGGCAAACGAGTTACCAACGTATACACCGACTGACAATGGATTATCGGCTGTACAAATGCGGTGGCCAAGTATATAATATTGGTGGATATTATCGGGACGAAATATCCGGAATTAATGCCGGAAACTATGGACCCTTGGTGTGTGTTTGGTCTCTCTTAATACCCACAAATTTTGTTAGCTCCGAATCGGAATATCATTTATTTGGCAACTTCACATTCAGTGATACGTGTGACCGTGAGTTCGTGACAATTCGTGAAGGTCGCTGGTCCTCGGATGTGATCAAGAAGATATGCAAAGATAATTCGTATGATTTGCAAAATTATACCCTGCCAACAGGTATGACTTTTGTGACCTATCAAGCCGAAAACTTCAATTCGGAGAAATCGAAAATTGCCATAGAGACGAAGAAAACCCTGAAATGCGGCAGTGAGACTAAAATATACCACTATGGCAATATTAGAAATGAGATCGATCGGAATCTGTATAAGGATAATCAGGAATGTTCATGGGTGTTCTATACAACGGCGGGACGTTATATGCAATTGGAATTTATAAATCGTTTCTTTATTGAGGAATCACCTAACTGCACAAAGGATTATTTGGAGATACAGTACGAGGAAGATGGCCTGTGGATTCCGCATGGGCGTTATTGTGGTCGAAATTTGCCACCAGCTGTGAATACCACATCATCACGGATCCAATTAGTGTTTCGAACCGATGATGCCATTCGGGGCGATGGCTTTACGTTTTTGGTACGCAGTAGGTGTTCGGCAACGCTTAATGTTGGTACCGAGGTTAAGAGGTTAGTTAGTCCCTCGCTAACACAATTCGGACGTATTCTGGATCGATGCACCTATGTTTTCCAAAGCAATGATACGGAGCGAATGATCAGTGTTAGGGTAATATTTGATGATAGTTCATCTCCGGTGCAACATTGGCTTGATATGCAACAATGCCGCCAGTCCTTCACTGTAACCAAACGAAATGCCATCGGTGAGGACCAGACGGGCGAAAAACTCTGTCAACAAGATCTTGAAGAGTCGGCCTCGAAATATCTTAAGCTTTCATATGAGGGTTATGATATGAAGAAATTTGTCATTGAATACGGTTTGGAGAGTTGTAATGGCAATGTGACGACGTCCCATTTCATGATACGTCCCCTGAGGCATGAACTCTCCAAGGGGGAATATGCCAATAATATGAACTGCCAGTGGTATATCAGTGCACCCAAAGATCATTCCATTTTGGTGAAATTTAAATATTTCGATACGGAGGAGAATTTCGATCATGTCAGTATTTACACGGGTCATGTGGCGCAAGGCGATAAACTGGTGAAGAAATTAAGCGGTAATTACAGTGACAGTCCACCGGAAATTTTAATTGATCATGCCGAGGCAGTTGTGAATGCAATCTCTGATGTGTCGAATACGGCCAAGGGCTTCGAGGCTGAGATAATATTCCTTAGGAATTGCAATGAACGCATTGCCCTAAGCGAGGACAATACTGTGGTTAATTTGGCCCGTATCTATAATTTATCGGCGGCGAATGGTGAGGATTATCATATGTGTCTGTTTCGAGTTAGTGCTCTCAAAGGATATCGCATCCAAATGAATATCCGCAAAATGCAAATCAATGGAAATGCCTCACAATGTTTAAATTCAACGACGACAACAACTTGTGGAAATTCGCATTGCAATACATTGGAAATCTTTGACGGTCCAAAGGACAACCGACAACTGTCAATGGGCAAAATTTGCACGAAACCAAATGCTTCGTATTACAGTTCAAACGAAGAGGCAATAATTAAATTTACGGCCAAACAACGAGGCATGTATCGATTGGAAATCATTTTAACAATGGAAAAAACGGAATGTGGCAGCCAAATGGAATATGAATTGGCTGGCAATCAGGTAAGCGGACATTTGAGAGTGATTGTCAAACAAAAACTAATTCATTTAAAATTTCGTATATCTGTGTTATTTTAGAATCTAAGTCTGGTCTTTCCACAAAACGGTGACCGCCGCTATCAACCTAATGTCCACTGCAAATGGCAATTAGAGGCCACATATCCTTTACTGTTCCATTTTAAATATGTTGACCTGCAAAATACTTCTCAGATCAATGGAAAATGTGTGGATTATATAAAACTTGAATATGATAATGTAAGTATACATAGACTGAGATGGAGAGAGATAGATAATTATGTTCTTCTTTAGGTGGTTGATGAACTCTGTGGCCATAGCTCAGATTATATTATTAACTTAAATAACTATGTGGGAATTGATCCTCCTGTCAAACTGTCTGTAGAAATAACATTCCACAGTGATGCCAGCATTGAAGGCAAAGGTTTCGAATTGGCGATATTGAAACAAGAAGGTAGGTTACATTTACAATTTTTAACAATTTCTTGGCATTTTATATTTTCTTGTTCCTTTTTTTCTTCCAGCTGACAATTTAATCCATACCCAATTAAGTGATACGATAAGCGGAGTCTATAGCGAAACATTTATTAATGATACCATAATTGTTCCAGAAATATATAACATTAATATATTTGTTCCCGATTTTTATACCAACGATTGTGATCCATTAGATCTGCAGGTTAGTACACGAAGATTTACAAAACTCACGTAGAGAATTTCTATAATATGTGTAAAAGAGCTTCAATAGATCGAGGAGAGATCTTGAGATCTCTACAAAGGCATATATAAGTTGTTCGTTAAGCTGAAAACTATTTGAATGTCTTCAATAGATAGAAGGGTTAAAAAAATTTTTTGGTATATAAAATATCTCTAGAATGTCTTCTGTCTATAAAATACCTTAGTTTTATGGAAAACCATTAGAAGGTTTTGTGTTGTCAGAATACCTCCAGAAGGTCTTCCGCCAAGAGAATACCTCGACTAGGTCTTCTGCCCATAGAATATCTTTAAAAAGTCTGTAGAAAATATTAGAAGGTATGAAAATTAGTTCATATTTGAAAGAGCAATAGAGGGTTTTCATCCATAATACCCTGAAAGGTATTCCATTATATAACCACATGTCTACATGGAGAAATATCTCCTGAATGACTTTTTTCTATAAATAACACTTTTTAAAACATCACGAATTTATTTTTTTCTATAGAAAACCCGTACACCCCAAAGTAGAAGAACTATATAAATTTATATTAATTTTTTGATTTCCCATTTTCAGATTATTGACCTAAAAACAAATCAAAGCCTTGTTAACAGTTGCAATAACCCTGGCAGTCATCATAAAATTTTTACAACAACAAACAAAGTTCAAATAATGCAACGGAAATTATATTACGTAAATATACCATATTGGGTTACTAAGCGAAATTCTCCACCGGGATGTGGTGGCATTTTCAATGCCAAAGAAGCGTATTTGGCAAGTCCCCAATACGAGAATGATCGTAACTATTCGGAATGTTCATGGAATATAACATTGCCAGCACCGAATAAAATTCGTATTATTTTCTATGGTAAGTTGTGCAGATAATTTCTGAAAATATACCCAAATAAATAATTTCATATTTCAGAATTCAATATGGGTTCCGATATCAATTGCCATTTGGATAATATGAAAATTTACGATATAATGCCGGATAATAGCCCCAAACTGTTGACAACTCTATGCGGCATGAATATGCCCGATATAGTTGTGACGAAGTCAAATCGCGTTATGATTGTTTCTAAGAAATCGCCCAATTTCGATGGTACCGGTTGGTATTTAAAATACGAGGTCGAAAGTCGGGAGAATTTAAATGATTTATCATTTATATGAAATATATAATTAATTATAGCGTATAAAACTAAAAATGAATCGAAAAATTAATTATTATTTATTTTTCTTAATTATCGTTTTTGTGTCTGATTTAATAGATAGGAAAATATTATGACGTAATAATATCGAATACAAATAAATTATAATATAGAACCTATTATCTGTAACATTTCAGTAAAAATGTCTAATGTGTACTACTTATTATTATTTTTCTCCGATTACTTTCGGTTTCTCTAAAACAATTTTTTTCTTTTTATGGAGTTTGATATATTTATGAGATTTATAATATAGTGGATCGGATTATTTCTACAAAAGTGTTGGAAAACGCTACATTCCCCTTCGCTGGAGAAAATATACCTCTTGCCTGGGTGTCTCAGCATGACAATAATTTCAAACATACGTCGAAACATGTCAAAGATTGCTTGCGGGAGTCAAAAATCAGTACTTTTTCACTATCATCAGATCATTATAGAAAAATCTTTGTAGTACCGTATTTAGCAAAATCAAAAGATATTCACAAAGAAACAAACATAAGCCCTTCCCACAGGTTCAGGATGTGAGCAGTATACCCAAGCATCAAATTTAGCATCTTATAGATTCAATGCCTCGTAGGTGTGCTGTCGATTGCTAGCAAAATTTGATTATTTATAAGAACAAATAAAAAAATAGCTTTATTTTTGACAAGCAAAAATTACGTCCAAGATTTATTCATAAGGTTAATAGGGAGGCGAATTGGAAGTCTTCATTGACTGTCAAATTTATTTTTCGAAGAATAATGGGTCGATTACGTATGGTAACCATAGTTTAGTGGCGTTGCCAAATTTGAATTATGGATTGAAATATTTTGAAATAGAATTTTTCGGCAATAAGAACTCAATTTTGTAGACTTCCGATAATGGTTAAAATTACTACTATACGTTTAAACTAAAGTAGCCTTTCCTATTTTAATATAAATGACGAACACATTCTTTTGGGCCCATGATTTGTACGTGTGTGCCATCTATACATCCGACAACACCCTGGAACTTTGTTTTCGAATAAAAAATTTTTATTCTTCCCTTTTTCCTCCTCTGTTAATTTGGAAACGATCGAAATTTTACACAGTTTTTCCTCTATTAGCCGGACAACTTCGGTCAAAATCACCGACATTGTGGATTGAGCCATGCCAAGGTTGAAGTCATTTGAAAACTTCCCTACGCAAAAAAAAAACCTCAGAGCAGCATACACTTTTAAGAGAGAAGGAATTGCTGTTTGCCGTCGGACTTTTCGGAAATCAGGGTTTAATGCTTCACCTAAGTACACAATGGCATCTTTTGGTAGCCGAAAATACGCCTTGAAGCTAAAATGAGCGGTTGATTGGATATTTCTCTAGACATAAATGAAGGCTAAGGCATGAATTTGCCTGCTTGTTAACCTTATGAATAAACCTTGATTGGGTCGCTTTTGCTTTCCAAAGAAATTTTTGTCTGTTTGCAATTTCAGTTGCTTTAGTTTTGGCCACAAATAAAGATTGGGTTTCATTTAGAAATATGCGTTCGTTTGTCTTGCAGACTGGCTGTGGCGATATCCCTAGAGGGAAGTAACCGATTTGATGAAATATCCAAGTTAATCCAATCTTTACAATACTCAAATATTCTTAGCAAACCTATATAATGGTCGAAGATGGGATCCATTGGTCCACTCAAACATAGCTCAAAACTCGACAAAGTCCGAAGATGGGATCCATCGATGCACCCATTAGGGTACATTTTCATATTTGTTCCAAACCAACGTCCACTCCTTCTGGTACCTCCGCACTCTAAAATTATTAGCATTTAGAAGCATTGTAAATTATATATAAAGCGAATGGAGAACACGACTTGATTTATCGATTTAATATTGTCATAGTTTATTATTTAAATTTGAAATGAAAAATGAGGGAGGGGGTACCCTGTAATGCAATGTAATGGTGAAATATATCTGTTTTTACAAAATTGCCAATCATTTTTCACCACAACAAAATGCATACAATTCAGCAATACAACGCCCCACTTTGATATAAATGTAAATGCAGAATGCAAATTTGCCATCAGTACGTTGGCAAATTTACACAGAAAACAAGTGCAGTTTAAAATAAAAAAAATAAAATTACTTTGTGTGAAGAACTATGTAAATAAAAAAGCAATACAAAAAATAAATCATGGAATTACTTCTTTCAAATTACTTAACCATCATACTTCTAATACCTCTAACAATTGAGGCATCCTATGAACATCAACCACAAATCCTTAACAAAAATGGTGGACTAATATTACAGGCTGCTCAGGATCAAAATATCAGTCTACGGCTGAGCCAAGGCTCATCGTTACTATTCAATAATATTGATATTACGGAAAAGATAAGACAACGTTACGTCTCCTCCAATCCATCGGATGGAGATGCAACCAAAGAAATGACATCCCTAAGCATTCAATCAGTGACGAATGAGATACACAAACTTCAGGATGACATATTCGGATTATTTCAACGATTTTCCAATTTACAAAATAATTCACGATCACCATTGCAATTGCGTGGAATGCGACAATATCTTCGACGTTTACATGCTCTCATGTTACGGCTGTCGGTATTGGAGGAGAATATCGGTAAAAATGAATGCACTGAATCGAATGATCCTTGCAGGAATGGTGGTACATGTTATGATTTATATAAGGGTTACCATTGTGAATGTCCTGATGGATGGAAGGTAATGGATTCGTTGCTCTTTGTTATAATCGTTGTTTTTTTTATTTTTTGTAATTCCTATTCAAATAAGGGGGCGTTTCTGGTTATTCATTGTTTTAGGGTAAAACATGCGAAGAAGATGTCGATGAATGTTATCTTTTGGCTGGCACAGATTTGGGTTGTCAAAATAATGCCATATGCACCAATACGCCTGGCAGTTATAGGTAAGACATTGGAGGAAAGCCTTTTTATTTCTCCATTAAAAAGGATTCTGTGAGCCCCTAAATAAGAAAAAATCTGAGCGCCATTATCAGCTTTTTTCCATAGAAAAGAAACCCGGAGCGACCTTAGTGCTCTTTTCTATAGAAAAGAATATAAACGACATCAGTGGCTTTTGCTCTAATGAAAGATGTCGCTGAGGTCGCTTAGAGTTCTTTCCAAAAGCCACTGAGATCGTTTCTATATAGAAAAAAATCGGAGCCAGCTCAGTAGTATTTTTTTTCAATAGAAAGATATCGGAGCTTCCTCAGCTTCCTCTATAGATAAAAAATTTACAGACCTCAGTATTTTTTTCTGAGATACCTTGACTTTTATTTTTTTCAGGTGCCAATGTACCAAAGGATTCTCTGGTACCCATTGTCGTTTACATAACACCCAATGTCAACAATATCAATCCGAAGAGTTGTGTGGCCATGGATCGTGCGTTCCGGCAAACAATCCACAAGGATACAACTGCATATGCGACCAGGGTTGGACTAAAAATACAACACTCGGGATAAATGCCACAGCCGCCTTAGTCTGTGATGTGGATGTCGATGAATGTGAAGAATCGAAAAATCCCTGCCACGCTGAATGTATCAATTTACCGGGTAGCTTTAAGTGTGGACCATGTCCTGCAGGATACACTGGTAATGGGATGAACTGTTATGATATTGATGAATGTGCCACCAATAATGGGGGATGTAGCTCAATGCCACTCGTCCGTTGCATTAACACTGAGGTAGGTCTCCAAATTGCATTTTAGAATATCAGTATTTTCACTCTTATTTTATCAGGGTTCCTATCTATGTGGAAAATGTCCTCCTGGCTGGATTGGTGATGGTCATACCTGTGAGTTGGCACCCACCAACTCCTGTGATGCCGAAAAGATATGCCATCCCCAGGCAAAATGCGAATTTATCTCTAACATTGCCACCTGTACTTGTGCACATGGTATGTTCGGCCATGGATTTGGACCGGAAGGCTGCCACACGAATCCCATAACCGACTCGTGTGAAAATCATATTTGCCAGGTATAAAACAGGTTTGAAAAATTCATTTAGTTAATAATCTTTAATTTGTTTCACCCAGAACAATGGCAGTTGCATTGCGGTGGGTCGCAGCACCAGATGTTTGTGTCCATTAGGATATTCGGGAGCCTTGTGTGAAACAAAAGACGTCTGTCATCCGAATCCTTGTGAAAATGAAGGCACGTGTAAACCCCTTGCCGATGACTCCTATAAATGTTCGTGTCCTCGCGGCACTACCGGTAAACGTTGTGAAGTTTTACGCAGTGTCTGTTCATCGATACAACGGAAACCTTTCGGAGAACTCAGTTATCCAACGGAGGGTGCTACAGAATATGCTCCCCAGGAAAGATGTGCCTGGATTATACGGACTCTACCCGGTCAAATACTGCGTTTAAATTTTGTCAAATTCGACTTAGAAGCAGATCCGGAATGCAGTCGTGATTGGTTACAAATACACGATGGCAATTCATTGGCCGCCCAGCTAATTGGAAGATTTTGTGGCAATGAGTTACCATTGGGTGGCACCATCTACTCATCACAGCATGTCCTCTTCTTTTGGTTTCGTTCGGATAATGCCACACAGAAATCAGGGTTTCACATGAATTGGACATCTCAGGCGCATATTTGTGGTGATACTCTGGAATTGTCAGCTGGGGATGAGGGTATCATACGTTCTCCGGGCTATCCTGGCAAGACAACGGCTCATAGGGATTGCCAGTGGGAACGGACAGCACCGTTTGGTTATCGATTTGTTTTAAGAATATATGAAATACAAATGGGATCTTCGCCTAATTGTACGGGGGATTCTTTTAAGGTAAGTACATTTATTTTTAAGGAATTATTATTATTATTCTGTTTCTTTTTCCAATTGAAAAAAAATATTCTTTAGGACAAAAATATTTTCTGTTCCCTGGGATTGATTTTTTATATAAAAAAAATCCACATGTCTCAGAGGATTTTTTTAAAGAACATAATCGGAAAAAAATATGTTTTTTAAGAAATCCTCGAGTAATTTATTTTCCGTAGAAAAATGTACGTTCTATAGAAAAATGCCTCTGGTCCCTGTGGATTGCTTTTTTGTATAGAAAAAATTCCTAAGGTCTATTTTTTCTCTAAAGTTTTCATTTGAGGTTTGATACATTTTTGTATAGAAACAATGATTTTTTAGATTTTTTAATATAAAAAATCCTCAGGTCTCTGAGCAACACAGAGACAAAAACCGGCTCCATTAGAGTATTTTTCCATAGAAAATAACCTGCAATTCGTGAGTATTAAATTTTCTCTATGTTAATCCGTCCATGAGAACCAATTTTACAAATTCAAAAAATTCCCAGAGTAGTTTTTTTTAATAAAATCCTCCTCCTATTTTCAGATCTATGATGCAGATATATTGGCAAAAGAATTTTGTACGTCCACCAGTCCCGAACCTTTTCGAACGTCTTCAAATAAACTCAAACTACACCTCCACACGGATGCCAACGGTTCGGATAGTTCTTTTCAACTTCACTATGAAGTTGAATCAGCCATACCACATTGCGGTGGAGTATTCACGGAAGCAACGGGTCTTATCGTGGGTCCCGCGGAACCCTCCGTTTGTTTGTACTCAATTAAGCAACCACCAAATGTACAAATAAGATTAACATTCATGGAGATGAATCTAAACGATAATGTAATAATTAATAATTGTAATCTGCATAGTATTGAGGTATGTGGCGATTTATCGAAACTGGAAGCTATCCTAAACTATAATGAATTTATTTATTTTTTTCATTAGGTGTTTGATGGAAAAACAGATGAAGATTCACGACTTCTTATCACATGTGGTGGCAACCAAATACCCGATACCATTGTGAGCTCCACAAATTACCTTCTAATTAGATATGTAAATCAATTACCATCAAAAGGACACACAAGTCCTTTCAAAATCAAATACACACGAGGTAGGGGCTTGAAAAACTTTAATCTCTTATCCACACTTTAATTGAATTTTTGTTCACCTTTGTAGATTGTGATTTTCGATTTCTTGGTCCTGAGAATGGCATAATAACCACACCAAATTATCCAAATCCATATACGGAACATCTTACCTGCACTTATCACATCTATGGGCCGGCTGGAACAAGGGTCCTTGCAAATTTCACGGATATTTCGTTACCCGTAACCCCTGAAATTGACAATCTCTCAAAGAATGTATCCGATGATGCTGTTGCTAATGATACCCTTACATATTTTGAGGTTAGAAACTAAGCGAACAATAACAACAATAACATCGATTATTATTTTGAATTCCCACATGCAGGTCCATCTCTCCAATACACAAAAACAACGTTTCTATAAAGCGGCACCCATGGAATTGTATTCGGAACAAAATAAAATGACCATTGTATTTCATGCCACCCGCAACGCCGCAAAGACTCGAGGCATTCGCATTGAATATTCATTTGAAGAGAATCACTGTGGGGGCGTTTATACTGAAAAGACTGGCATATTTTCAAAGGGCATCCTACCACCCGAGACTTGTAAATTTATTTTTGAAGCACCAGAAGGAACACACATACGCATATCCTTTACACCCCTGACCTATGAACAATCAAAAAGTTCAATCAAAATTTATGGCCATGTGCAGGGAGGACAGAAATTCCTATTAAGAAAGTAAGTGATCAAATGAGAAAATATAGCCAAACACTAGAATAGTTGATATCGGATTTGATTCACAGTATAAAACCAACTTTCGACAAAATCGAAGATACATACAATTTCAATCAGATAACGATTTTGGCGGAAACCCATTCACGTTGGATAAATGGACACTACGAGTTTGTTAATAATTCGGATGGTAAGTGCATTAGACACATGTATCTTCCATAACCTGTTAATTTATTCTATAATATATTATATCTTAAGGATTTATAATTTCTATAGAAAAAATACTTATGGGACATAGAATTGATTTTTTAACAAACACGATTACCTAGGATCATTCTCAGGAACATTGGGTTATTATCCATAGAGGAAATATTCCGCAGGGAGCATAGAAAATGTCATCAAGACATATGAAAATTTACTCAGCTTCCTAAGGATCGACTTGTTACAGTAAAAAACTTTGATCGCTGAAGTTCCGTTTATTATTTTCTATAAAAAATAAAAAAAATCTGTCTTTAGCTATATAAGTTTATACATATCGGTAGAATACGAGATTTCTAATTTTAAAAAAGTCATTAAAATTAAATAAAATGAGAGATTTGAAAGTGTTTCACCCCATAATGTACATTTCAGTTTGTGGTGGCAATTATCAGGCATTATATGGTGTAATCGATTCCCCCAATTGGCCCCGCATGTATACATCGAATTTAGATTGCGTATGGACAATTACAGCACCACTGTCACATAAAATTGAATTGAGAGTACAAAATTTTACACTGGAACCGGACTGCACAGGAGATTCACTGGAAATTCGGTAAGTTCGCAAAGAGAGCCAGTCTAAAATCTGAATTTAAAAAAAAATAATAACTTATTTTCTTACAGAAATGGTAAACTGCCAACATCCCCTTTAATTGGTCGTTATTGCGGTCAAGACATTCCCTCCCGAATACCCTCGTTCGGCAATAGTTTATATTTACGTTTTATCACCGACAATTCCGTTTCGGGTCCCGGTTTCCACATCAGTTGGGAACAACTAGAGACAGGATGCGGTGGCAAATTGACGGCCTACAAAGGTTCCATTCATGCACCACAAATGTTCACCATACAAGGACTTGGCTCTACCTGCGATTGGTTGATTAATGTGGCGGAGGGTTCTTCGATTTCCCTGAATATAACCACGATTGTAGATGTTCAGACTTTTTGTCGTCGTAATAATTTACGTATTTACGATGGTGCCACAACATTCAAGCCGTTATTGAAACCAAATTGTTCGGATGTCATGAAGGATGGTCGGGTAACACTCACATCGAGCGGTAACCAAATGCTAATTGTTTATACGGTTACGGCCGTAAGTGGTGATGATCTGCCGGATTTCATAATAGACTATGTGACCAATTGCCAGATGGCTTTGGACCATATACAGGGTATTATTGAATCACCCAATTTTCCGGATCCTTATCCGGAGCTGTTGAATTGCCGTTGGGACATTAAAGCTGGCACAAATAATAAACTCCAATTGGCATTTTCCCATTTCAGTGTGGAGGCCTCCATCATGGAGTGTGAATATGATTATGTCGAAGTGTGGGATATGAAGGATGAGGACATACTGAAAAAACATCATCTCTGCACCCGTCCCAATGAAATAATTACCTCCGAAGGAAATCATTTGCGGATGATATTTGTCAGCGATTATTCGAATAGTAAAATGGGTTTCCGGGCAGAATACTCCCGAATCGGTTGTGGTGAGATTTTGACTAATGATTTCGGCACAATAAAATCACCCAATTATCCCTATAGTGGCGGCATGGACTGTGAGTGGTATATTGAGGTAGCACCTGGTAAGCAAATCGTATTTACCATCTATGAGTATCTAAGGGGAGAGGAGAACAAAGATTGTTCTGCAGATTCTGTTACCATTAGTGAAACTAAAAAGTCAGCCAATGGTCTCATATACTATTGTAGTAGTCAAACCAATATAGCCAATACCTATTCGCCAACGAATCGTCTGTACATCCATTACTTGTCGTCTGCATCAAGAGGTCGTAAATATTTTCATGCCATGTATCATACACGGGAAGCTACCTGTGGCGGTGTTATTCGTGGTTCCTATGGCAGTTTATATTCTCCAAACTACCCCCAAAATATTACCGAGGAAATCAACTGTAAATGGGAGCTCAGCATACCAGACACCCTATCGATAATTCTGAAATTTAAGGATGTAGCCTTTAACGAGTCGTCGAAATGTGAAAATAGTTTTCTACGTATTTCCGATATTTCAGGAAAAAATGCCACCAAGACGGTGACAATGTGTAGTGTAGATTCACAACAGACTAGTTTTAAATCCACCCGTTTAGCTATTGAATTCAAAACACAACAATCTTCAATTGGTAGTCGATTTTTTCTGCAATATCAAAAGTCCTGTGGTGGAGTAATAGAATCGGAATCTGGTACACTTGTGGCCCAATCTAATGAAAAATGTCTGTGGCTAATTAATCTACCGCAAGGTAAGCTGATGTCTTGTTATTTATTAATTAAATTTCTTCGGTTAAAATATTTTTATTATTTAATTTTTCGAAGGAAACACAATTAGTATCAACATTTTAGAGTTGGATTGTTTTTGCATCCGCCATCAGAATGGAACCAAAGATTGCAATGTAAATGGTATAATGGTAAGTTGACCTTTTTTATAATTTAAATTCAGAATCTTATATATGTAATTCTGAAGAAAGGATATTTGTAACAGGTATTTTGTAAACATAATTGAAGTTCCACCCTGATAAATAAATGCAATAGATTCGTATACTTCTGGCAAGACTTAGGTTGAATGGAAAATCGGTAGGTTTTCTTAAGTAGAAAATTCTTATTTAAGGCATAAGAGAAACCTAAAGACCAGAAGGTATGCTTATAGAAATAGATTTTCCTATAGAAGACCGAAAGGTTTCTTACAGAAGAATAAATGTTTTCATCCAATGGAGCAGACATTTTACAATAGGAGACCAACAATATTTTTATAGAAGAATCGAAGTTAATCTCCTTGAAGATAACTAGATATTCAGAAGAACTTCTTATAGAAAACCATAGACTTCTTATAGAAAACAAGGAAGTCTTCTTCGTAAAAAAGCAAGCAATATTTTTAAAAAAATATATATAGAAGGGATCCTTTAAGAAAATCAGAATAGGTATTCAAATAGGTACATGTAGGTCTTCCTACAGGATATTAGTATTTTTTTAGAAACAAGTAGAAGGAGGTATGCTTATAACAGAACAGAAAGTTTCTCACAGAGGATGAGTATGTCTTCTTATAGATGACAGAAGGATCTTCTTAGAGAGGATAATTAGGTGTTCTTATAAAAATTTCAGTATACCTAGTTATATAGGTCTTCATATCTAAGGTCAGTAGGCCTTCCTATAAAAGTAATCCAGAAGAATGTTTCGAATAGATATTTTCTTAACTTTTAATTACAGATTGGAATATCTAGAGAAAAGATTTGCGAACATTTCCATTCAAATATGGTGTTTCAAAGAACATCATTATTAATTGCCACCGAACATGTAAATCTTCGTGCCACATTCTCAAGTATTCAAAATTCATGTGGAGGAACTATAAAGGCAACAAGTGGAACTTTAACTTCACCCAACTTCCCAGCAACGTATCCGGCCAATATTGAATGCATTTGGACAATAACAGCCGAATTCAGCAATACCTTGCAAATCGAATTTGAAGATTTCGATATGCCGCAAAGTGAACATTGCAATGAAGATTTCTTGGAGATACGACCGTGGCTGGGATCGAATACCTTGGCTATATATTGTGGCAGTGTTCGTCCTCAAGGAATTCTGAAATCGATTGATTCAATTTGGTTGAAATTTCGCACTTCTGAAGGTAGCAGTGGACGTGGTTTTAAATTGAAATGGAGTTATGGTAAGAAGGGAAGGTGAAATATCGGCTAGATATCCAACTTCTAGTATATGAATCTCATAGCTCAGTTAGATGAACCGATCTAGCAGTGTTTGTCCATTAATCCGTCTATCTGATCATTATAAATTGTAAAGGTCTCAATTGTGGGCCGGTTGTTTCAGGTCCAATACGAATTAACAGTCGGTTAATATCGCACTTTACTCACTGATTTTTATATATTTTTTATTATTGCTTAAAATTCCAGCCCATTTAACTGAGATTGTTAATCAAACCCGAGGTCAAATTCAATCACCACCCTTGTCATTACTGCACTATGAAGATGAACCATTTGCCTGGCGTATCTTGGTTCCAAGGCAACAGTATGTGGCGTTGAATTTCAAAAATTATCGTGATGGACTAAAGGTAAGACATTATAACACACATTGGAGTGATATTGATGAAACATTGTGCAGAGAATGCGGAAAATGTTGGTCATTTGCAGTTATCAATTCGACCGTTTTGCTACCGTCCATAAAATATTTTTTCATCTTCTTTTTTATAGCTTTACGACGGTTATGACAATACCGCCCTTCCCATTGAAATTTCCGATTCACCATGGCGTTTTGTGTCCACTTCGAATGTCATTTATTTTGAAACCGACACCGAAAACCCCAACTACTTCCAGTTATCGTGGAAAATTAGCAATGCCTCAGTGATAGACACAAATGTGACCACATCGAAATGTCACCTGGAGAGAAGCATAAAACCGCATGCCAGCGTTATGATCTCTTCGCCCAACTATCCGTCAGGATATGAAAGTAATCTGGCCTGCGATTGGATACTTAAACCGTTCTCAAGTGTCCAGCATGTGGTCTGTGAGATATACGAAGTAAAACTGGAAGTCATGGATAAGTGTAGGGCAGATTATTTAAAGATATCCTCATCGAGTGATTTGCTGAAATGGTACGAAGTGGCCAAACTTTGTGATACTCCCGAAAAGACATACACACCCTATGCAATTTACCATGGAACACCAAATTTAAAATTGGATTTTGTGACAGATAATTCGGTTAGTGCCAAGGGATTTACTGCTCGTCTTATAACCAGATGTGGTTCAAATTTAACCGAACCTGTGGGCTTCATTGAGGGAGATAAGTTACTGTACGAAACCAATTGTCTCTGGCACATAACTGTTCGACCGGGCAAACGTATTCTGCTACAATTCGATTTTGCTCCATCAATGCAAAAATATCCCTTTGATTGTCCTGACTATGCCCTGATTTATGATGGTTTCGACGAACATGCCCCACTCCTGCCACCCGGTAAAATTTGCAATCCCCAAAATGTGACACAGATCCAAATGAATTCCACTAGTAATTATGTAACTATCCAATATAATTTAAGTCTTCCCAGGGCTCTATTGCCGCGACGTTGGAACCTCACCTATCGGGAATACTCTACATGCAACGAAGAATATCGTTTGATTCCCCAAGCCGCGAGCATTAATCTGACATCGCCGAATTACCCCAATGTTCCGCAGCCACATACCGAATGTGAGTGGAGAATATTGGCACCACGTGGAGAATTGATTGACATTGAATTCTTAGGCGATTTCCACATGAACACGAAATTCTGTGACAAAGAGTATGTGGAGTTGTTTGATGGTGCAACCGCATTGGCAAAGAGTTTGGGAAAATATTGTCGCAAGCCAATGCCACTGAAGACCACACAGAACATTTTATACATACACTATGTGACCGATGTCAGTGAACCCAGGGCGGGATTTAAAGTCCACCTATCCATTGGTAAATGTGGTGGAACATATACAGCTACATCGGATTTAATAACCTCAACCGGTTATCCACATCCCGGTGGCTATGCCGCTAACACTCAATGTGACTATGTAATTAATCAGCCATCGGATACCCGGATTCGTCTAATAGTTCAGGACATACACTTACCCTTTAATCGATTTCGACCTCAAACAAAAGATCATTTGGAAATTATACCCATAATACCAACAGAATCTACTGATATGGCGTCTTCGATCTATGTCTTCGGTAATACCACCAAGGGTACACAAATCGATTTGAGTATGAACAAGGCCATTGTCAGATTTCATACATTTGCCAAAAGCCCAGAATATCGTGGTTTCCAAATCAAATACAATCGTTTCGGTGGTCAGTGTCATCAAGAATTTGAAGGTCAATCAGGTCCAATAACACTGAGTTTTCCTCGTCGTGTATATTACTCTACGTACTGCCGTTGGAAAATAACCGTACCGAAGGGATTACGTGTGCGTTTGCAATTTCTAAATTTACCCGATGTTAACATGGCAAATGAGAACAAGTAAGTAAATTATATTTTAAGAATTCTGGAGAGGTATTCTACCACTAAGAGATCCTAGATTCTTTGTAAGGCGCCCAATGGCGTTATAGCGAACTGTGTTCGATCCGGCATTGACTAATGCCTGAAAACCAATTTTCTACAAAAAAAAAAAATATAACCAACAAATTGTAACCGACTTTTTTACTTGTTGTATTCAATTATTTTTTTCCTCTTCAGATCCATAACATTTTCCTTCTACAATGACCATGAATCACAATCGAAAATTTCAACACTCGGTATTAATAGCATTGATTCGAATACAGCAATTCTATCCACGGATAATATGATGTCGGTCAGTGTCTATATGCCTATAATGACACAATCGTACACCAGCCTTAAGGCCCAATACTCATCGGATCAAATATCTTTTTGCCCGGGAAATATTGATGAAACCCAACTGGAGGGCCATGTTGATATAACCAATGTGGAGCCACACTTCAAAGAACCCTATTATTGTAGATCGAAAATTACACTGAATCCGCCTGAGACATTAGTGTTCAATATAACTCAGTATGAGATAAAACTCGACAATGATCTGCCGCGTGCAGTATATCCCCTGACGTTTCGTGATAATTTACTGATAACAACTTTGGGAGAAAATTTGACCAAGGCTCTGTATCCGCAATCTCAGCCGGTTGGCTATTGGCAAATTCTACAAACCGATCGCGACAAAATACACAGGCTAAGCATGTCATATCGCCGCCACGCTTGCGGCGGCAACTTTATAGTACGAAATGATCTGAGCATAAAGGAACCGGAGATACGCGATCCCCACTATGGTGCCATAATGTGTATGTGGAGTTTAAGCCGACCGTATTATTATGGACGCATGGGTTCCGAATATCGCTTGGTGGGAAATTTCACATTTCGAGATTCGTGTGAACGTGAATTTATAATGATTAAGGAACAACGGTGGAAGAATGACCCGGTGATGAAGATATGTCGTGACAGCGATGAAAAGTCTTTAGATTTCCTTTTAAAAAATTCACGAACTTTTGTGGTTTACCAAGCAGAGGATTATAGCTTCCCCACAACTCAATTCTACTTTGAAACAAAGAAATCAATTATATGCGGATCTCAAACGATGATTACACAGGCGACAAGCATGGTCGAAGTGGATCGTCAGACCTATCGCAATAATGAGGAATGCTATTGGACCTTTTTCACCCGCCAGGGCTTATATTTACAGGTGACCTTCTATGGCCGTTTCTTTGTAGAGTATTCGGAAAACTGCACCAGAGATTATTTGGAGATACAACGTGAACAGGATGATCTGTGGATACCAGATGTGCGCTACTGTGGGCGGGAACTTCCAACGATATACAATGCAACAACCTCCAAAGTTAAAGTCGTATTCCGGACAAATGAAAATGTAACCGGAGATGGCTTTTCATTTTTTGTCCGCAGCCATTGTTCGTTGGTGGTAAATGTCACCAGTTCCGAGGTCCAGCGTATTAACAGTCCACAATTCCAGAGTTATCGCTATCAAAGAAGGCAATGTGAATACATCTTTCAAGCCATGGATAGCGATAGATTGATCAGTGTCCGAACAATAACTTCATCGCCCATCTCCATCTATGATCGTAGTCTTGGCATTAGGAGGAATGCGAATGCCGGTGTTTGCTTCAGTGCCTATAAACATGATGCTAACGGGAAGGAGTTGCCTGCAACCGAACATTGTGCATCGGAATTTGAAGAACGGGCCTATAAGTATTTACGTCTTACGACGAACGACATTGGCGAATATACCATTGAGTATAGTTTCGATACGTGTGGTGGCAACATAACCGCCAGCCACCAAATCATACGTTCCTTGAGACATGAAAACCCCAACAGCTATGCGGATAATATGAACTGTGTTTGGTACGTTACAGCTCCGCCGGATCACTCGATTGTGTTGCGTTTTAAATATTTTGAGACAGAAGAAAGCTACGATCATCTAAGCGTTTATTCGGGTCGGACTATATTACGTGAAAAGCGAGTGTCCATGCTGACAGGAAATCTAACGGCCACCTTGCCCACTATAATTGTGGACCATAATCAAGCTGTCATCAATGCCCTTTCAGATGCTTCGAACTCCGGCAAGGGTTTTGAGGCGTTAATAGTTTTTATACCGAACTGCAACGAACGTTTTACACTTACCGATGGCAATTCACCCGTGAATCTGGCACGCAATTATGAGGCGACAGCTAATGGTGAAGAATATATGTGTCAATATCGCATTAGCGCTCCCCGAGGCTATCGCATACGTATCGATATTAAAAAGTTGGAAATAAACGATGAGAGCTTTAATTGTTCAACTGCCGATACGGGGCAATGTAGTTTGAATAGTTCTGTAAATTGTAACTTTGTGGAAATATTCGATAGTAGTGAAGCATCAATGGGTAAATTTTGTAATGCCAACAGGACCAGAATGGCCTCCATGAATACCACATTGTTTAGTTCATATAATGAGGCGTTGTTGAAATTTGTTGGGACACAAACGCGAAAATATAGTTTTGAAATAATCTTAACAATGGAAAAGAGTCAGTGTGGTGATCCGGTGGATGAATACACATTGGGAGAATATGAGGTAGGTATAGAATGGGCCAAAGAATTTGTAACAAAAAATAAATTGGTCCAAAAGAAATCTCAAAATCTATATAAAAACTTCTAAACCTTTTAACCGATTTCATTTCAGCAATACACCTTAACATTTCCACCTAATGGCGAATCAACCTATAGCCCCAATACGCATTGTACATGGTTATTTAAGCTGAATAATCCCATGTTAATTCGTTTCAATTATATTGATTTACAAAATGTATCGCAAGTTTCTGGTAAATGTTTGGACTATATACAAATCAAAGGCGATTATGTAAGTCTTAACAGAATATACAATTCAATGTATCAAATTATGTGTACATATTTGCATTTTTAGAGTACATTTCAAATATGCGGATACAATCCAAAATATGCAATAATGTCATCAAGTATTACCAACAAAAAATTGGAAATAACTTTTCACAGTGATGCCACAAATGAAGCCAAAGGCTTTCAGTTTATAACCGATACCAATAAGGGTAAGTCTATGTATATTTAATGAATGGATCGTATCAGAGAAAGATAATGTCTTTTAGTTATGAGAAAGCTTTTCTAAAACTATGTTCTCTCTCCTTTTATAGTATGCAATCGAACATATACCGATCTAAGTTACAACTTAGAATTTTCCGGTCAAGAAATGGCTAACGAGACATGCAAAACTTTGATTACTGTTTCCGATGAATATAATCTCAATCTGTATATAAATACATTGCATTTCACCTATTCCGATTGCAGCAAATCGTATTTTAAGGTACACATGTATTCCAGTTAACTTATTTTACAACTTCAATTAAAAATAATTTGTTGTTTTCGCTATAGATAATTGATCAGAAAACAAACACCACCATTTACAATCGTTGTGCCAACATTTATCTACCTGTACCGATTTTTAGCGCCAATTCGACATTGCGAATTGAGATGGCATTTGTTATAAGAGGATTACTAACATATTCCGTCAGTCAACGCACTTTGATTCCCGGCTGTGGCGGTATGTTTGACATAAAAGAAGGCAGAATTATTAGTCCAAACTATGAAGGTTTACGAATTTTCACAAATTGTTCTTGGACGATTAGGGTGCCAGCTCCAAATAGTGTAAGGCTCTATTTTCAATGTGAGTAGTAATGAAAGCCGAACATATCTATAGAATAATAAAAGTTTTTTATTTAATTATATATTTTATTTTGTAGCATTCGATATGGGTCCCATCACCAATTGTCATTTGGATAATTTCCAAGTTTATGACATCATGACCAATGGCACTCAAAAATTACTTAAGACTCTATGTGGTCCAGAAATACCCTCGATTTTGGTATCGACTTCGAATGAAATACGTATTTCATCGAAAACATCACCGAATTATGCTGGAAATGGCTGGACACTGTATTTTAATACGCAGGTCAATCCGACAAAATTATCTTAATATAAAAAATTAATCTTAAATAACAGCAACAATTGAAATATATTTATTTATAAATGTATATAAAATATATAAACATTAATAAATTGTGTGTATCTGTAATATTATATCATTTTATACTTACAAACGAAAAGTCCAAACCTTCAAATGACGCATGTACACATTTTCATCCGTCGTATTTCTATGCTGTTTCTCTAGGGGTGTTTTACGAAATGGTTGAAATACTACGCGCCCCTCTTTGGGTCTGTTGTAACAGATAGATTAATCCATCTGATTGGAAGCAGGATGTCGGTTTTGTGTCTATCGGCTACCAATTGGTGACATCTACATCTGAATGAGAACATATTTATTTTGGATTGTTTGATTAACGAATTGTAGATGTCGTTAATGAATTCAATTATCATTTATTTTGTTCCAGAACCTATGGGTATATAATTTCAGCTATTCGGAACTTTTACCTCTTTCACATTAGCCGACCTTACATTGGTTTCAAAATGTTATTTCGCTGTGTTAAATAATCGGATTCGTATGGTCCATACAAAACGGTTGACTCCTGTCGATACCTCCGTCTTGGCAGTCGTGGCCCAAATCCATTTATTTATAAGAGTTTTGGTGATTTTTGCGCCTTTACTTCTACTCCAACTAGTTCGTACGAAAAATACAACCCTACACTGTTCATACACTAGCGTGCAACCCTGTGTCAACAATGGGGTTCTCATACAGTCACCATCCCACCTCATTCGTAAATATTTCGTTATACTACTTTGAGTTCGTCTTTGTCGGCCAGTTTGTCTTCTCTCCCATTCGTTAGAAAGTGGAACGTTTTTAATTTTTTATTGGTTGTGAAGCACACTTCTCGTTTCTCCGGCAAAAGTTCATAAAAATAAGCCGACATGGTAATTATTTATTATTACTTGTCAAAGATAAATTAAACAATAATCTTTCTTATCAATTTCAGTTGTTCTATTCATTTTTCAAGTCGTTGGTCGGAAAAGACGTCGTTGTAGAACTGAAAAATGACCTAAGGTAAGCCGTGTCAATGGAACATTTCCCACCAATTTTTGCACATTTCCAATTCGTCGTATTCTATTTGTTTTCCAGTATTTGTGGCACTTTGCATTCCGTGGACCAATATCTGAACATAAAACTGACAGATATAAGTGTTACCGACCCCGAGAAATATCCACACATGCTGTCGGTGAAGAATTGTTTTATACGTGGTTCGGTTGTACGCTATGTTCAATTGCCGGGTGATGAGGTGGATACCCAGCTACTGCAAGATGCTGCCCGCAAAGAGGCCGTCAGCTCCCGATGAACGAACGATGTGTATAGCATGGATGGCTATATACTCTTGTATGGATTAATAAATGTTTGCTTAGCATTAGTTACGATTTAAGGCCTAAGTGATAAAACAAGAAAAACAAACCATGAATTTTATAACAACAAAAATATAAATTAAACAAGAAAATGCAACGTTTTAATACAACAACCAAAAGAACTACAATTACAAATTAAACTACTATATAAGCAAACGCAAGAAGTTAATACTAGGATAAGTAAAACAAATCAATTCTCAGGAAAGAATAAAAAATCAACATCAAATGGAAACATTCAAATTCTATACCAAATTCAAAATTACAAGTATTCAAGAAATGTAGCAGTTTATATCAAATATTCAAGAAAATAACCTGCAAAGCAAAAGGTAAATTTTCATTTTTCTTTTACTAGATTTGTCATCCTCTATTCTCCCTTTTCTATACTTGATATCAGAATAGTATTATATTATAGGTTTATCATCCTCTATTCTCCTTTTTCTATACTTGATATATGATATATTTTCTATACTTGATATATCATATTATGTTTGGTTCACATATGCAGCCCGTATTAATTATACTCTCAGACTAATGAAGGTATATACAATTTGCTACGCCAAATATTGGTTATACACTGTAGTTTCTTTGGACCTAATCCGTTTCAGACTATTTGGAGTTGATTTAGAAATGGCTGACTGGTGCTCAATGCAATTATCGAAAGAATTAACCGATTTCATCTGTACTTTGTACATCGTCATATTTCTTCCAAACTTACATCAAGTTCGAAGATGGGGCAATATTGGTCAACCACTTCTGGCACCTACAGCACAAAATGATAAAATTTGCGCTAAAAATTAATTTTTTAATATCATGTAAACGAACTATCCGATTTTAACCAAACTTTGCACACCCCATTATACTTACCAAGCCCAGATCAAGTCCGAATATGGGACTAATTGATCCACTCCTTCTGGTACCTCCCATACAAAGTCTCAACATTTTCAATCCTTTTGGAAAGGAATGTGCAATTTGGAACGAATTTTTTATATCCTATTATCTTTTTTCAATCCCAATTTAAGTCCGAAAATTGCACTATTTGGCCCACTTCTACGCAAGAGTCAAAATTTGCTATATTTATAAATGTATCCGAATATTCGATTAATTGGTTCTCTCCTAGTGGTACCTCCCACAGCAAAGGGTCAATATTCTATATTAGTCTAAACATAAAATTTGTTATGAGATATGACCTATTTGAAAACATCCAAAATGACTACTTCGACGAAATGTATTCGATATTGAATGTTGGACGACAACAATGACAAAAGTTTCAAAAAATCAGAAAAACAAATTCATGATAATTTCATGGTTAGGTTGAAAACCACCACCACATGTCCAATAATGGGATATACACATATATGCCATGGAAAAGCCTATTGGGCGCTCTTGAAAGGAATGTTGGTTTGAAGAAAGTCTCCCAAGATTGGAATTCTGTGTCTTTAGAGAAATCCTTCAGACTTTTCGGTTGACACCCTTAGGTCGGTTAGTTCGTTTCGCTTAAAGTTCATCACTTCTTTTAGGTCAGTTGAAGTAGGAGTTCGTTCTATTTCAAATTCAACTACCGGTCACTGATTACATAAATGTTTACTATAATAAAAATTGTTTACTATAATAAACATGCAAGTTTTGAAAATGACTATACACTCGAAATCACGATATTTTCGTCAAAATTTTGAAATTTTCTAAACCTTTTTCCAAACAGAAGAGATTTAATCCAACGATGGGACCCATCAGTTTACATATGTATTTGTTAATTCTGTACCAATGGTGTGGAATGACGGATTTAATGCCAAATTTGGAAATCGTGATATTTCTGTTTTCCTAAGTGGAGTTTATAATTTTTATTATGGAATTATCAGTAAGGTCAACTTTGGGCGGTGGTAGGGGCATACGAGCGGTTTTGATGAATCAAGCGAAATTATTGATACGTGCAGATATTAATATAAAATCTGTATCCATGGTCGTCAACTAGATATATTTCTCTGATGTTGATCTTGGAGACCACAGGGAAATTGCAGGTATAAAGATGTAAGGTACAAGTCAACGCCTCTAGATAAAAGAAACCTACTAAGCACGTTTGGATTATATCCTAATACTGTTTTCAATTTCAGGTAATCAATTTCAGGTGGTATTTGTGCCCTACCTTTCTGTCAAAGGGTAGGTCATAAATACCATTCTCGGAAAACTAATGCGAAACAGGCATATATGAATAGATTTTTTTAAAAAAAGTCAAAGTTTCCATTTCTTCAGAAGGCCCCTCCATCCCTTTAATATTCCATAAATAATCACAACACATTTTACACTCAAAATACATACAAACTTTTATTGAATAAAATTTCGTTGGTGATCAGTATTAGAAGATAATAACAATGTTTTTTTGTAAATATAATTATCATAACTGCGTATAATTGAAATATATAAAAATTTTCAATTTATTTATTTATTTTTTGTTTTCGTATATATAACTTGAGACTGTTGGTTTTTTGTTTTCAATAAAATATTATTTTATGATATACTATTGGAATTTCGGCAATAAAAAAATTATTTTAAGAAATACTACTGAAATTTTGGCAATTTGTTTTGGTGTACTTCTACGAAAAATATAAAGTAAACATTATTTTAACATAAATAAATACAAAATATAATTTTCCAGATTTTTTCTTTGTAAATTTCAAATGTTCCGATGCGAGTTTTTTCATAGATTGGTAGTCTTCTGGGGACTTTTGTTTATGAAAATATATATCGCTCTTTAGCCACAAGACCGGCATAAAGCAAACATCGCGATGTTTGAGTTAATGATGCAGAACTGTTCGCTATGTCAGACTTCATGTTGTGTGAAAAATTCATTTGAATATCTCTTTCATAATCTGATTAAGAAACTGTAGAAATTCCACTGTTCCTTGTCAAGTGTTAGTCAATTGAAAACTTAAAACGCTATTTCACAAAATCATTTTTTGTTTTGTTTTTGATTTATACCGGTTTTGTAGCAAATGAGCGATATATAGCTTTGTTAAGGTGGAATCAAATATAAAACCTCTTGTTGCTATTGTTTTCATTGTGTTATTATTTTTTTATTTTTCAATTCTCATTTTTATTTTGATTTTTCATTGCAGATTATATCTACCCAGAATGAGTACCATCCATCATTCATTGGAACCATTTTGTTGCTGCTCAGTAATCAGATCACAGTAAGTTTTTGTTTTTCATTGACAAATTTATAAAAAAAAAGTATTTTACATAATTTACATACATACATGTTGGTTTATAGATCCCATTTAATAACCTTTTTATGTGATTTGAAAAACAACCTTAATTTATATTAATTTTTCTCATTAAACAAAATGTTTTCAGTTTAACTGAGTTGTTTAATTGGGAGTAATTTCAAACAAAATATTTTACATTAATTATATATTGACATGAAATATTACGTTTTTTTTTCCTATTGGTAAATTATTATTATACGATTTTGTATATACATACATATATACATTAAATTTTATACATTATTTATTTAAAACAAAAAACCCTATCACGCTTAATATTAGTCTTCACTGCATTAAATTTCATTACACATTTGCTTGTGATTCGTTTTGCACAATAGAATTATATGGGATATCTCAGTAGATATTAAATATGGACATAATTTGCCATGTACATACCTACAGATGGCTCTTCTTTATTGCAACAAAAATTTAACTTATAAATAGTACACCAGTTTTGGCTGATATTTAGGAAATTTGCACGAGACTGGGTTTGAATGATGGGAATGATAGGTCTATATTTCGCGAGTCGAAATTACTAAGACGTTTGTGTGAAAAATACAAAATTGTCAATCTGTAGTATATTTGATGGGAAAACATAATCAGGCAAATTGGCAGTATATGAAAGAGAAATTGTTGACATTTAATATGACAGCAATTCTATTAAGTAAACATTCCGATATGAGAGAAATACTAAACAATACAAAGATGTAGACATATTTAACATAATGCAAATATAGCGAAATTTAGATAATCCGAAACGTTTTACATGATCCCATAATACAATTAAATTAAATGTCACATTAAGTTGCAATAATGTAGATTCGCCTGTATATATCACCATGGTTTCCATTTTCTAATAATAATCCTTTAAGTTTATTAGGGTTAAAAAATGGGCTATTGTTTATTGGCGGAAGTGAGAGCTGATGGACAAAGAGTGTGGACGGTTGGAAATATAAATTGAATGTGAAAAGTAAGAAAGTTTTTTAACCAAAATTTAACTAAGAATAATTATGAAACTTAAAAATATTCTAATTAGGTTATTTACATAACCCAAAGTGTTCGAGATAGATGGTTAGGTGGAGAATGCTGTTTTTGTTTGGGTTGAGATAATAGAGAAGGTGAAGGAGGGTGTTTATTATACTTAGAAATAACATATTGTCTTTAATATTTCACAAAAATTGAAAATTACATTGATAGTTACAAAAATTAACTTTGTTTTATTTCAAAAATATTTCTTATTTTTTATATTTTTAAATAAATATTTTTTTTGCGTTTCAAAACACAGCCGTATATTTGTTTCTTAAAGATAAATGTTTTTGTTTTTACATTTTATTATATTATTTATTGAATATACATGTATGGTGTTTTTTGGTTTTGATTCTTAATTTATTTTTAAGTAGCCGACTAAATATCCATTTTGTGAACATATCTTTGATATTCCCTCATTTTATTATGTCATATCCTGCACCTTCTGTCTTTTAAAACATAAACACTCCGATATGCCTTTGTGAATTACCTATAGAATAATATTCTATCTATAATTAATTCTACCTTTCAATTCAGTTTTCATTTGTCACCATTGGATGTTTTTTAAAAGTAAGGAAATCCATTTTAACATCGAGAGATTTGAGGAAGAGAGAAAGCTTTTGGAATTCTGTAAGGAATTGATTTTTCTTTAATGGATAAATTGAAAATTCATAATGGAAGGTTGGGACGACACAAGTTCGCAAGTTTTTTTTTTTAAATCCTGTCAAAATAACATCGACATGGAATCTCTTGAAAATATTGGAACTATTAAAGTTTTGATACTTGATTTTATTTTTATATGAAAAAATATTTGAGGTATTAAAAGATTCTTTTCGGAGGCTGTTTATTCATTTACACAATTTTAATAATTTCTGTGAAGTAAAAATTATTATAGAGAAACCGTTAACATTTGCAATTGTGGTTGCCAACAAATATATACCCTCAGCCTATGATTTGCGGAGGTCTACAGAAGCACTGTCTAGTGTCGTGGTATAATATTTTTTATTCAATATATATTTTTTTCAAAAATATATCAGTTTGTGGCGAAGTTAGCAGATACGATGTACCTATATAGCCGATAATTGTACTAAAATTGTATTTAGTGCAGCTATTAAGGTCTGCTATGTTTGGACCACACATTATCTCCTATTCCCTTTATATAACCTGAGTTCACCATCTGCGGAAAGGTATCAAAAGAAGTCAAATAGACACTATCTTCTGATTTGATGTAGATTTTGTAAAATATTACGATGGGAATGCAAAGGATCAAAACGGTTACTCCAACAGCTTCAAATAAAATGTTGACCCCTTGTGGTGGAGGTTCCACAAGGAACGGACTGATGGGTCCCATCATCGGAATTCATTTACAGTTGCTAAAAGTATTGCGATATGCAAAGTTTGGATGAAATTGGATATTCCGTTTGCTTTTTAATTTTTTTTTTTTGATAAGTTTATAGAAGTCCCATCTTAAAATATCATACATACAGGCTTGGTTGAAATTGACCGCTCACATGATATAATTTTGTGAGAGGGGTTCCAGAAGGTTTGGGCCGATACCACCTTCAAACAACAAACTGCAAGGAACAGCAACATTGTATGCCCTACAATTTTAAATAGCTTTAAAAATTATACCAACTACAAAATAATATGGAATAGCCTTGACGAAACCCTATGTTTCTACAACGCTTGTTAGAAATAACAAATCCTTGGTACTTAATCTGAAAATATATTTTGTGTATTTGTGATCCTTTTTTTGCTGTCAAACAGTATTTGGTTTATTTTATCAGTAATCCATATCGATTCAGGTCCAGACCAAAATCGTTCGTTCTTAGCCACCATTATTTTATTTCGATTATTAATTTAGATAATGAATATGAATAAATTCATTTGGCTGTTGTTGTTACATTATCCCTAAGAATGTTTATATAGACCCTGTAATATTGAGCTTAATAAACCATTACATTTTGTTTAATAAAACATGTGTTATTACTAAAACTGTTACAAACTACAGATAATAAAAAATATATATATTTTTGATTTTCATATATACTTAAAATATTATTTGGCGAAAAATTGTTGTCGCTGTCCTTGTTGTGATGATGATCGGGTGGCTAATTTACAACCATGTTTTGTTTCACAATATATTTTTTTATTTTTATTTTTTGGAAAATAAAAAAAATATATATTTATATTTTTTTGTTGTCTTTAAAACCAGTCTCTCGATGTTGTTGTCAAGTGTTGTTGTGAAAACCCTAGGTTTCCTCCATACATTAGATTTCATACACTCGATATACTATCAAGGCCACTGGTGTTGCTACTGTTGTACGTGGCTTGACCAATGCCTAGGGTATTGGGTAAATTCTGCGTTGCACGATAACCATTTTTGGGAGGGGCAAAGGATGTGCGTGTTGGACTGTTGCTGCCACCATTTGTCGACGTCGTACTTGAACGTTTCATTGTTGCCACACCACCACGCTGATTATCATAGCTAAGCACACTGGAGACCGGCTGACATCCTTCACTGACAACAACACCAGCCGCACCATCATTGCTGGTACTACAATTACTGCCTACGGAGTTGTCATTCTGTATGATTTCGGTGGAATGATTGTGATACTGTTGCTGGTTATCATCATGGCCACTTCTCAGAGCACGATGAAATGGGCGTCCACTGCCGTGTACCATGGATCTCTGGTTGGGATGGGGACTTTTGAGCGAAGCCGATTTCCTTAGTAAACCGGGGGTATTGGTGCCAACACCATTCGCACCACCATTGTTTGTTGGCGTCTGCAGCAAACCGATGTTCTCTTTGTAGTTGCTACCCGTACTAATGCTGCGATAATAGCTCGGCTGCCGGTAGGTTCTCACTTGGCGACCATTACAATCGATTTGGGTCACAGCCGTCAGCATGGATGGCGTCCTCTGCGAATCACCTCTGAAAGTATATCTAATGTTTAAAAGAGGTACACAACCAAAAGAAAAAGAGAGGGGGCGAACATAATCGTGGATATTAATGGAATGTATGGAGGGTAGAAGGAAGGGAACGGAATGGAATGGAAGGGGATGTACATTTTTTGTTTTCGTTTTTTTGATCCAATGGATAATCATAAGGAAACAAATTATAAGTGTGGACAAATTGGACAAAAACATAAAAAGTCCCTGTGCTAAGTAAGGAATCACTGATGTCCAACTATTTGAAATGTTGTAACCAACCTGTTGAGGCTGTAGTTGCCATTGTTGTTGTTGCTCTTTTTACTTGTCTTCCGTTTCATGGGACAGAGGTGGAAGGCGCCATATATCAGGGGATTGACCAAACTGTTTGACATGCCAAAAAAGAATATGGCCGATTGTAAATCTTCACCAAACTGCAAAAAAGGGGGAAGGAGAAAAACAAATATGAATGAAATATGATGTCATTGTTGGTGAGGTGTATATGAATAATTGTCGCTGTATGTTTTGTGTGTGATATCCCTTAGGAGTTTTAGTGCAAATGTCTAGACTTACAACATATATGTACATGCCGAAAAAAATGTCCTTAGGGAGTCTGTCACAAAAAATTGCCCTTTTTATGACGCATTGTTAAGCCCAACAATACTCGGCACTGCAAAGTGTTATAAATCGCCTAGAGTTTCGGTAGGACGGGTAGCAAGTAAATCAAATAAATTTACTTCAAATGTCACTCAATTGTTTTTTTTTTCTTTTCCTCTTTTGTATACCCTTCACCACACTGTGGTACAGGGTATTATGTCTTTGTGCATATGTTTGTAACATGCAAAAGGAAACGAGATAGACACATGGTTCCTTTTGAGAATATGCATAGAATCACTTTCTAAGTCGATTTATGCATGTCCCTCCGTCCGTCTGTCTGTCTGTCTGTCCATGTATTTTTGTGAGCAAAGTACAGGTCGCATTTATGATCCGATTTGGATGAAATTTGGCACAGCTCATTTGTTTGGCCCAAGGACGAACCCTATTGAAATTGGGAAAAATCGGTTCAGATTTAGATATAGCTCCCATATATATATTTAACCGATTTAATGTAAACGGTCCCTATATCTTCCGATTTGCACGAAATTTGGTACACCCTAATCATTTAGGTCAAGAATGATGTCTGCCAAGTTTCGTGAAAATCGGTCCAGATTTAGATATAGCTCCCATATATAGTTTCGTCCGATTTCATGTAAATGGAGCCCCAAAGTCCCTATATATCTTTCGATTTGCCCGAAATTTGGCACAACGTATTGAATTAAGCCTAGAGTGATGTCTGCCAAGTTTCGAGAAAATCGGTGAAGATTTAGATATAGCTCCCATATATAGTTTCGTCCGATTTCATGTAAATGGTGCCCCAAAATCCCTATATATGATTCGATTTGCACGAACTTTGGCATAACGTATTGAATTAAGCCTAGAGTGATGTCTGATTTAGATATAGCTCCCATATATAGTTTTGTCCGATTTCATGTAAATGGAGCCCCAAAGTCCCTATATATCTTTCGATTTGCCCGAAATTTAGCATAACGTACTAAATTGAGCCTAGAATGATGTCTGCCAAGTTTCGTGAAAATCGGTCCAGATTTAGATATAGCTCCCATATATAGTTTCGTCCGATTTCATATAAATGGTGCCCCAAAATCCCTATATATGATTCGATTTGCACGAACTTTGGCATAACGTATTGAATTAAGCCTAGAGTGATGTCTGCCAAGTTTCGAGAAAATCGGTCCAGATTTAGATATAGCTCCCATATATAGTTTCGTACGATTTCATGTAAATGGTGCACCAAAGTCCCTATATATCTTTCGATTTGCACGAAATTTGGCATAACGTACTGAATTGAGCCTAGAATGATGTCTGCCAAGTTTCGTGAAAATCGGTCAGATTTAGATATAGCTCCCATATATATGGGAAATGGTGCCCCAAAGTCCCTATATATAATTCGATTTGCACGAAATTTGGATAACGTACCGAATAGAGCCTAGAATGATGTCTACCAAGTTTCGTGAAAATCGCTCCAGATTTAGATATAGCTCCCATATATAGTGTCGTCCGATTACATGTAAATGGTGCACCAAAGTCCCTATATATCCTTCGATTTGCACGAAATTTGGCATAACGTACTGAAATGAGCCTAGAATGATGTCTGCCAAGTTTCGTAAAAATCGGTCCTGATTTAGATATAGCTCCCATATATAGTTTCGTCCGATTTTATGTAAATGGTGCACCAAAGTCCCTATGTTTCCTTCGATTTGCACGAAATTTGGCATAACGTACTGAAATGAGCCTAGAGTGATGTCTGCCAAGTTTCGAGAAAATCGGTCCAGATTTAGATATAGCTCCCTTTTATTATAAATCGATTTAAGGTAATCGACGCACCAAGGAACCAATAGGCTGATAGGAACAAAACGTTCTGAAATTAGTATAACCTAAGCTGTGACAAGTTTGTTTGAAATCGCTTAATATTTGGATAGAGCTTCCATATATATTTTCGCCCGATTTCAAGTAAATTGGACATCAAACTCCTCATGTTAGCCAGATTGACATCAAATTTTGCACAACGTATAAAATTGAGCATAGAATTACTTAGTTGCGTTTTCTAGAAGTACAGACATAGGACAACAGATGACCTATTTATATTTGTTTGAAGTCGATTTACATACTTTTGTCCCATTGTAACAAACGAATGACATGTTTATGGATAGATCTAGGTAGATTCACATTTAGATAAATATCACATATTTTATTTCATCCAATTTCATGTTAATAGTCCTGTTTAATATACACATAGTGGTGAAGGGTATCATATAGTCGGCCCCGTCCGACTTTACTACTTTCCTTACTGGTTTATTCCTGTATAAGTGCTAATGGTAGGATACCAATCATGACAAGAAGCATGTCAAACAAAAAAATGGAAAAACTAAGGGGGTGATATGCTTGAGAGACATTTTGAACATGCATTGCTTTGATATTTTGAATGAGATATATCGAACTGCGTATTGATATTAGCCACATCTTCCAACGTTAGTGGCAAATAAACATTCAATCACAGTCGTATAACTCATTATCATTTTAATGATTCAAAGTTGATTTTATTTATTTAGAACGCACAAATGTGTATGCCTGGCTACATACTCACACACACATTCCGACCATTTGTATTTTCTTTTTCCATTTCCCTCCATGCGAGGTTAATTCAATTCAGGTTGTTGTAGTTCTTTGATATAGCAAAGAAATAGACTCTTGATTTTGCGTTTACATTTACTTTTCTTTTGTTCCGTTACCCTGAAGATCTACGTTGAGTTCTAATGTTAATTTGCTTAGTTGGATTTAATTTAATTGCGTACTTAATACAGATTAATGTAATAAAGTAAACACCGACTTCTGCTACATAGCAGATTTGACGATGATGACCTGGTGTTGGAGGAAATTTTATTATTTGATTTCTAAATCGGATAATTTACGGTAGAGCCAGGGTAACTATATTTCAAGGTATGCAGAGAATAAAAATAAAAATGTTTTATTTTAGAAAGACATAACCATAAAAATTAGGAAACAAGCCAAATATAATGTGGATAATGTGTGGATGTGACCGTATAATAAAATAAACCAAGGAAAAAAACTTATTTCAGTTCGAGTATGCCTCTAATGTGTGTACTCACTTTTTAATTTTTAATATTATTTAAATTTAAATAAATAACTATTTGTATCCGTATGGCAATCGTCGTCTTCTGAGAATTTTATAATGGGATTTCAAATAATAAATATACAGAATTTATATATGAATGTATTGGATATTAATACTGGCCACTAATAAGAATAATACTCATAATCAGGGATGGAAAATTCAGTACAATAGTACTTTTTTCAGAACTTTTTTTTACCCAAAAAGTACCGTAGTACCCCCGTGGCCATTTCAGTACCATTCCAATCCTTCATTATAAACCCTGTTGTATATTTTTTTGGATTAGCATTTTTTATGGATTTGACCGTCAAAACTATTGCAGATAAAGATATTGATGTGATTGCAATATCCTCTTGAAATGTCGTTTGGCCAAAAACGAAGTTCTTTACAGGCATTGAAAAATCTTTTATTTTTAAAATACTCCGTTTCCGTTTACTTTAAAAATTCTATGTTTTGTAATATTTTTTAAAAAATTCTTTCTTTAGCTAGCAAAAAATTAGTAGGTCGGTGATGTCGACGGATGTATAGGTCACTTATCCTGATTTTTGTACGCTATTTTGTTTTGTGGAAGTCCACACGGAATCACTGCCTAGTGTCCAGCATTTTCTAATAAAAGTTAAAAAGTTGTGGAAGTTTGTGGCTAAGGCCTTAAACATGCCGAAAATGGCGCTTGACATTTGTATAGGGAAAAAGGATTGAAAAAAGGATTGAAATATAGAAATTTGAAAGATACCTTTGTATGGGGCCCACCTTATAAAGTGAACTATTAATTACATATTACAACTATATGAGTGTTACCCTAAAAAGAGACCCAATACTAATAACTATTGCACTATAAATTTCAACGGACGGACATGCAAAAACCGGCATATAATTTTGTTATGACAAATTTAATATACACTCTAACTAATGGTAGAGGGTATAAAAAGGGGCTGGATCGACCAACGAGACAACAAAATATGAGTCTATATCAATAAAATGGCTGAGAAATATGGATCAATATTGATATTTTTTGGTTGTAGGATTTTTTACATAATGAGAATCTCAACGTAGCCGAACTCCCCAAAATAAAAAAGGATAGGTGTCGTTATATGAGGACTACTCAAAAAATGGGCCAATATTGATAATTTTTGGAAAACGAACTTAATAAATATTGAAATCCCTAAAATACCAAATTACAACTCTTGCCTTTGAAAAATGTAGCCGAAATACGGAATTCCGAAATAAGTAGCGTTGTATCCCATTTCTAATATCAAACTTCCAAGGATTATATAAATATATGTGTAAAATATAACCTCTATCTGACGAACATGACTTAATCAAATTTTTGGTCGGTATAGTCAGTAAAAAATAATGTAAACCCCTCTTTTTAAATAAAATACCTACAACATATTTTTCCTCTCTCCCAAAAATACACGTACAGTTATTCTCTCTCTTTCCAATAAAATACCCATACCTATCAACTTGGCACCTCAATCTCATTGGGTCCTTAACATTGGCTTAGCATCTGGGTTACGAATATTACAAAATCAAATCAAAATATAAATATCCTCTCCATGTTAATCTATTTTCACATACACAAACACACATAGTGTATATATATATATATATTATTTTTATATTATTTTTTTATTATAAATTGATTATTATTATTATGATCTAGATTTTTCCTATGCCTATGCCATTCCTCACAAAATCTCATTACCCATAAATGTTTGTGGATATTTCTTTTCGGGTGAACGATCTAACTTAGATAGCTCGCAGGCATGTTTCGCCTTTGATTAGATAGATTAACAAAATGCTTGTATACTCGAATACATACCCTCTTGTCGGGATTCCAAAACATAAAAATCAACATCATCACATTGTACGGTGTCCAACATATGAGAAAGGCTATGATGATTACCACCGAAATACGCAGAGACTTCATTTTCGCCTTGTGTATCAGACGCTGGCGATTTGTTTTACTCGATGGTTTATTTGTGTAATCGGCCAATTTGGAGCCTTGGAACATTTTTTCACTGCCTGAAAGAGAAAAAAGAAAAGAATTTACAAAGAATAGAAATATCAAGAAAATCAAAAGAGACAGCTGGACATACACTAGGGCCAACAATGTTGCATAAGTGTGTGTGTGTATAGCTGGCTGTGTGTGAGTGTGTTTGAGAAGTGTTGCTGTGCTACATTTTCTTAAGATGGTCCAAGTGCCAAATAAAATAATTTTGGATTTTTGCTATTTTTGCCATATCACATTGAAGCATAAGAGGATTGTTGGAAAAAGCCACTAAGCATTAAATCGAGAATACCCAACGAATAGACTGAGAAGGGGAAGAAACATGGTAATGGTTATTTCTCTGGCAACCTCATCACATTAGTATTGAATTAAAACTTAATTAAATTGCTTGTTTGGCATTAAATTCTGTGGTTTTATGTAGGACAACTTTGATGGTGCCCATCCTTTGTTTGGCCATGCGGAAGATAAGACAAAATATGATGCTAATTAAGTAATCCTGAATAATTTATGAACGTAGTTCTATATAAGCTGTCAAGGAACCGTTTGTATTTGTTGGAAGAAAAAATTTCTTAAAAACAGTTCAACAATCTCCAGTTAATATTTAATAATCCATAAAAATATTTTTTTTTAATATTATTGAAAAAAAACCTATTTAAAAAATCCACGCTTTGTAAAGTATTTGAGGAAATATTTTATCTCGAAATAATCGGAGACCACATAAAGTATATTCATACTTGATCAGAATAATATTCTATGCCGAATAAGACATGTTTGTCTTTATAAAAATACAATAGAGATGACAATTTTCCACAGGTATTATTATTTGGTATTTTGGCGTTTGTAAAACGTCTCGAAATTGTCTTTAACTCTGTAACGGATTTTTGGCCCAAAGAAACTTGTCGTATAAAACTGATATTTCGATGAGGCACATTCTTATCGTAGCGAAATGTGTAGGGTATAAGGGTTCGGATAATGTTATAAAAATATTTTTTAAAAATTCGCTAGTTCTAGACACTGTTCTTTATAACATTCCGGCGTAAGTAGTCCTTTGAAAAATACTGTATAAAACATTCAGAACCAAATAGTAAAAAAAAATTAAGAAATTCTCGTTCCTTAATGTAATTTTTGTAGGGAATGGGCCTTGTTTAAAGTGTGGTTAAATCATTATTTCCTTATTTCCGAATTTAAGTCTTCAGTTTCGACCTTACCCCTTTTTTAAATAATAATAGTAAAGGAGGTTTTCCATTGGCATTGTATGCTGACCAATAATGTTTATTGCCGCAGTTTACTATCGTCCCAATTACATGAATATGGCAAATTTACTTTTAAATTGATACTATTTGTCTGCAACAGCTGCAAATGATCCAATGACATTGCCCGAAAACCAGCCTTTGGGATTTTTAACGACATCCGTGTCGTATGTGTTGAATGCAATTTAATGCTCTGTTGCCTATCCCACCGAAAGTATTTTACGATTTTTGTTTTTTGCTATTGGCCACATTCTTGCCGTTTCGCTGGAAGACATTCACCATTTTAATGGTGAATCAATGTCAATATGTAATCGTTGGATAAGGACAGTTTACACGGTATATATTTGTTGTGGAAAAAATTTATTGGAAAATCCAATATGTCACACCGGGTGCACAGTGTTATGGGTTGGGTTTTATTACTGGACTGTGCAAATTTTGAGGTCTATGATTCCGGAAATGTCGCCTTAAACATTAACCACTGATTACAGAAAAAAGCAAATAGTTGTTGCCTTAAAAAAATTAAGATCCTGTGCATGTCATATATCGAAATGTATTTGTGTGTGTTTCTCTCTCCCTCTCTTTTATCTATTTAACCAACGCTTGTACTGTTCATTCATATAGCCATTCATTCATACTTACTTGAAATGGTGCGAAATGTCGACATGTAGCTTCCGAAGAGTATACACAGCGGCAATAGGAATGTAAAAACTAAAGTAAATGTGGCGTAAAGTTGCTCCTGCCATTCGGCGGTATAAAAACCATGTGTCACGCACTGATAAAATTCCTCCACAAATGGACCACGAGCCACATGAAATATAAAAAACTGCAACACAAAAAAAGGAGAAGAGGAAACATTGAAAGGACATTATTTTTTTATATTTTTTAAGCGTCAATAGAATAAATTCTTTTAGGGATACTAAGTGACGATGATATATTGTGTACCACAATCAGAATGTTGGTTTTAAATAAAAAGGTCAAATTTATGATATTAAAAAATGCGATTTTTTTTTGAAAATAATAGTCTATATAAAATTCCAAATACATCCTTGTTGGAAAAATTAATTTAAAAAGCTGGTGACTTTTTTTTTAAATAATAAAATAAAAAACATTTTTTCAAAAGCCCGCCATTTTGTTAAAGAGCGAAGTCAATAATCCTAGTTCATACGAGAGCCAGTATCCCAAACAAATTTTCGGATTCCGATGTTCCAGTGAGGAGTTATCCCGCAAACACTTCAATTATATATGCGAAAGTATTAAAGGAATTGATATACCAGCCATCAAAATTACAATTAAAATCGAAAGTATATTATAATAGTCTATATAAAATTCCAAATACATCCTTGTTGGAAAAATTAATTTAAAAAACTGTTGACTTTTTTGAAATAATAATAAAATACAAATGGTATCCCAAACAACCCGCAAACACTAGCGAAATATTAAAAATATTCAAGCCATCAATTACCATTCGAAAGTATATTATACAAAAAATGTGCGCCATGTAGGGTCCCTTGTCATTACGTCTGCAACACAACGAAATATTAAGCGGAGACCCTATAACGTATATATGGAATTCTGATTGGAATAAAGTTATATATTAATAGAAATTAAGATATACCTAAAACATGTATTATTATATCTCATTTTCAATACCAAATATCCTGTAGAAATGTGATTTTTTATTTTTATATGTTGTCCATAATCAGGTCTTGACATATGAAGTGTAAAAAATATATATCTACTAGCTGCATATTAAATATAAGCTCTAAAACATTTTGTTGTCTGTGGGCAACATTGGGCCACAGAGGGTTAATACACCCTCCTCTACAATAGTTCTTAGTAAACTCTTCAAAAATGTTGTTTTTGCTCACATTTTATTTGTTCCCCTTTTATTCAAATTATGCTCGATGAATGTAGTTTTGTTCCAAAACAGCATCGATATGTGCTGCACATGATATGTGTTAGTTATTCAATTTCCATGTTAACGTTTTTTCCCTAGAAATTCGATGTGGGAGCATCATTTATCCAAATTTCAATAGCACTGAGCTGCTTGCCAATTGGGAATCATAGTCTGACGCAACTGTGTTTGTGGAAAATTAATTTTAATTGTAACCATTCCACAAAGGCTTGGCTCAATGGGAAATATCGCATCGACTACATACATATCGGCCTACTTATTAATGGCTGTGTTAATACAACTTACTGTGGTGTTTCCCCCTTTCTTTTCCCCCTTTTCTTTTTGGCAACTTGAATGTGAAATTGTATTGTTTTTGGTTTCGGTATTTATTGTTGTTTCAACTTAGTATTGAATACTAAAGTCAATATTTGCTTATGTCTTTCATTCTCGTTTTTTTGGGGAAAATTTCAGTGGCGGAACAATTGAATCAACAGTGTTGTGTCAATGTGTTTGTGTTGTTTGCAATCAACACTGACACAATTTTCAAAAATAAATGTTATGAAAGTGTTTTGGGTGGGTTATTTGTGTGTATCGACAATACTGGCGGGATCATTAATCACATTTCAATGTGAGGACAATGAGACGTGTTGATGTTTCAATTATTATTTCGTTTCGTTTTATCGAAATGCGTAGGGACCTTATTTGACACATAATTTAAGTATTTGGTAGTATTTCAGAAGAAAGGTCAAAATTCACTTGAATCGATTTAATTTCCCAAAAGAGAAAATTTACATAAAATTATTTTTGTGAAATTTTCCGTAAAATTATATTTGCATGAAAACGATGTAGGAATTTTAATTGAGTATTAATGCGTTGTTCAAATTAAAGTGAAATTGTTTTCAAATAAAATTATTTTCTTTGATTATTGAGAGTATATAAGAAAAATGTTCAATATAGGTCGGTAACAGGGCATGCTGAGTTAAGGGAGGGTCAAAAATATTCATGTCGAACATTTTCGATAATGGTACATGTTTTGACTTATACGCCATAGAAATAAATGTACCGCGACGTTTTAGGCATTTTGAAAGTGTTATAAGAATTTTCAAAACGAAGGTTTAAGCCGCTGGATTTTTCTTTTAACTGATAGGTTTTATTAAGCAACATTTTAATGGCCATAAAAAATCCTTTTCAGAGCAGATTTTTCTTGCAGTGACAGGACAACTGACCATTTTTTCTCCCCTGGTATACAATTGTTATTTTGCAACCTTTGGAAATTAAGTGGACGGTTTAAACAACATGTCGGCAGACAATGACATTCGTGGAAAGTCCAATTTCGAAGAACGGATATTTGAATGTATCACCTAAGAGTGGTTTTGAATATATATATTTTTGTTTTAAATATATTTGGACATTTAAAGCATGAGTATTTTTCCGGCGACTAATTTTGGAGAATTTTCAAACTTGTATTAACAACTTCACCATACATTTTGTTCCAACATCGTAAACAAATATTTGTTCATTCGTATATTGTTTTCCAAATTTGAATAGAAATCGTGTGTTAACATTAAAAAATAACAACCGCATAAATTATGGTGGACGATATTGTTGTTATTGTTTATTATTATATATTTTTGAGAATTTAGCGAACAGATAGAGTAGATAATTTAAATGAATTTCAATCATCAACTGTTCAAACGAACAACAACAAAAATATGTTTGTATTCAAAAAACATAAAATTTGGGAACATTTGAAACAAATAAACAAGGTGTTTGGTTTAATTATTGTGTTTTAAAAATGAGATACAAATATTTGGGTAATAATAAATTTACCAAAAAACACTTGAATAAAAATATGTTGTTTTTTTATGAAAAAAATCCATATTTTTCTCCAATATCAAGTATTTGAATAAAATAATTCTGTAGATTTTTTGAGAAAAAATATTAATTGGTTTTTGAAGAGTGGATTTGGATTTAAAATATTTATCGAAACTCTGACTTCTTCACAGTGCCTTAATGGACTATATTTATTTACTACATAAACGTATTAAGGATATTTATCATAGTCCTATCAAACCAAACTCTTTTTGACCTTTTTTTTGTTTTTGTTTCTCGTTTATTTGGTTTAATTGGTGTAGAATGAGAAATGCATTAGCTGTCAATAACAAAAGTTTTTTTTCTTGTAAAATTTTCCACATGTGTCAAGCAATCATTCTCACATAGTAAATTCTGGCGCATTCGTTAATTAAATTATGCAAATCTCATGTCGTCTAGAGGACATTATAAACTTTGTTCTTTTTTTTTGTATTTTAAAAGCTCTGAACTTAAGACATAAAAAGTATGCCACACGTTTATTTTTTAACACACGAACATACACGCGCAGTTACAACTGCCATGGCATCCTTTATAGGACTTCATTATGTAGTTGAACCCTTTTTGGGGAATTTGTTTAGTGCACTTTCGTGGCAGAAGTGTAAATATTCGTTTTATTTCAAAATTTGGCATAGCAAAATTTTTTGATTTACCAATACCGACATAAGTTTTGATTTTCTAACAACTTGCTTCAACATCCATTAAGACATAGTCATGAATTAAAAAAAATGTTAGTTTTTTAGTACAGCTACTGGCGTAAAATTGAATAACTTCTACCACGAGTTGGAGTGTATATTAAATTCTTCGTTCAGCTTTTGAAACCTCTAAATATTCTTTGAAACCCCCATTCTTTTTCTATGATCTATCTAGAGATAAATCTGAAATTTTTCATATACACCAATAAATCTTTTATGATGCTTGGTTTTGCAAATGAGGAATACCAGGTCTATTTTGGTATAACCATGTTTTTGAATCGAAATTACTGTAATGTGGTACTTTGATGCCTCATTGGCTAGAAAATCACTATTAAGGACCCCCCCCCCCATTCTCGATTTTTTATTTTTAAAATTTTAAATGGGCTGGTAAATGAATACCAATGCTTGTTAAGGTTTGTAACTTTGCACATATATATTTGAAGATTTAAAAAGGATGAACAATAATTTACAAAAAATTTTGTTGTTGTTGTTGTTTTGATGGAGGACATTATAACTCCTCACTGGAACATCGGAATCCGAAAATTCCAACGGTTTTAGAAAGAGTACATGTCTGGCTCTCGTATGAACTAGGATTACTGACTTCGCACAACAAGTAACAAAATGGCGGAACTTTGAACTTTTTTCTTTAACCGATTGGCTTTATCATAGTTCATAAGATAGCTATACACTCACAGAGAAACGTCCCAAAATTTGGAATCGATCGGATTATTAGTTTTTGAGTTATCGTGCCCGCCATTCGCAAAAAACGATGTTTGGAGAAAAACGCGTTTACAGTTTGAGAAGCCCTCTTGCTGTCCCAGTCTCCCCTTTGTGCCTTTATGGTTCCTAAAATGTATTTTTAAAGATGTGAATATAATGTTTACATGATATATTGACAGTGCCGATTTCACTCACGTTTTCCTTCGGCTGTTTGTAATTGCATTGGGAAGTTTTTTACGAAGAAAATGTTGAGAAAAACATCAAAAAGTGGGGATATTGGAATAATCGTACGTTGTATTAGTTACCTCGTTTATAACTCAAGAATGTCTACACCGATTTTGACTTATAAATCGTATATGGTCAGAATAGAAAAATATGCAAACTATTTGTGACATTCCGCCAAAACAAATATATTAAGTAATATTTACAGTCCCTCAATTTTTGTATCGAGCTTTAATGTGTAAATAAATTTTTGTTTTTTAAGACATGCGATCATAAACATCGACGAAAATAATGGTAATGATAGCATTACAGTAGATATCGGATATAAGAAACTCAAAAAAGCCGGAGATTTCTTTCTTATATGCGTTTTTTTCTTATATGGAATTATCGGATATAAGAAAGTATAAGCTCAGTGTTTTTGAT